CTAACTATACAAAACTTTTGGCACTCATGGAGTTACAACAAAGCAAAGCTCACTTGTAATAAAATAGAGTAAATAATAAATATAATAATAAGGGGCTATTTTAGCACCAATATTCATAGGAAAAATACAGGATATTAAACACAGGAAAAAATATTATATATAAAATTAATAATAAACTCTTCTTTTGCTTTACAATGCAACTGTAAAACACATATCATCTGATATTTATATAAACTCATTTTTAATGGAATAATAAATTATTTTATGTAAGCTTGTACATAAAACTACTTTTTTGACATTAAGAAACTGTAAATCGCAGAATAAAAATAACTCTTTCATCTATGCTACTGAAAATATATATCTTCTGATATACATATAAACTCCTTTTTATTTAAAAAAAAAATTTATAATCAATTATTTTATGTCTAAGCGTATATGTATTAGAACTTTAATAACATTGGGAGACTACATTTTAAAATTAGTTAGGTGACATACTTTTTTCTACATTTTTTTAGACACAAATTACAATGGAAGCAATTTTTGAAGAATCAGGTCAATATACACACTTTACTAACTACACAAATTAACAATATCACTAGATTAAAAAAAAAAAATACCAAATATTAATACCAATCACAACCATTCAATACAATAAAATATTTGATTTTTAAACTACTAGTTTTTAATTTAATAATTAACAAAAAATCCATGACATTATCAACTGTTTCAATTCCTAAAGAAATTCATTAATTTATTTTCCGTTCCTATTGTTGCTCGTTAGCTTTCACTAATTAAAAAAAATTATGTATTAAATAATGTAACAATTATTTAAACAAGATTGCAAGTTCAAACTGTTTAAAAAATAGATTTAATATTTTATATTTCTCTTTTATAGAGATTTTATCCCATTTCTGCAATTTGGGTATTTTTTAAAAAATATTACTTTAAAGTTTTATTTTTTTTCTGAGGAAGAAACAATAAAAGAAAAAACTTGCTCATCAGAAGACATCAATCTAAAATTACAATAAAAAATAAAATAACAAAAATTAAGGAGATAAATATGTTATCATTGAAGGGAATATCACAAAAATTCTCTTTTTAAAAGCTAAAATAGCATGATAATTTTTAAGTCCGTGCTTTATAAGACTTTAAGGCACTTTAAAAAATTCAATCAGATCTTTAAAATTACATAAAAAGAGATTTTACACATAGATGTGCAACCTATGGCGTGCAGGCTAAATGTGGCCCTAAAAGTATTTAAATGTGGCTCTTGAATTGTCATAATTATAAAAATACGAAGAAAAAAATTTCCATTATGCCTTCTCCCACTTTTTCATTTTTATGACAACAGTTTCATGTCATCCAAGATTTGTAATATAATAGAGCAGTGGTTACCAACTGGCGGCCTGATTTTCGTAACAAATCTTTATGGGTTTAAAATACTTTTCTTTCATTAAAAAAAGCCTTATTTCTTTGTTTCTGTGAAATTTAACATACCAACAGTGCAAAAAAAAAAATTCTCAGGTAAAAATCTACTTTGTATTTCGATTTGTAATTCAATACTTTTGTTTTGTACAACTTGATAAAAATCTGAAAGTAATATTTAATGTTCCTTCAAACATAAAAGATTCCTACATAAAATTTTGATAAATTTGCGGACCACCATTTGACTGGTGTTTTCAATTGTGGCCCCCGTCTTCGTGTAAGTTGGAAACCCCTGTAATAGACTAAATCTATCTAAATATCTCAAATATAATAGAGTAAACATCTTAAAAAGTTTACATTAAAAATTAATCTTTTGAATTCTTATTTCAAAACTATTTGAGGCATTAGGTACATAATAAAGAAATAATAGCTTAATCAGAAAGTGGAAATTCCTCGAAAAGGCCTATCCATAGACCATAGGAATAAAGAACGGCATTTATCTAATGAACTATAGTAAACTGAATTTTAGGATTCAGCCATTTATGATAAACAGCACATTATATAAATAAAGAATTAAATAAAATAATTTAATAAAAAATTTTATGTGTGTAAAAACATTAATATTTTAAATAATAAAAATAAAATTCAGTTTTTAAAGTACTTTTCCTAATAATTTGTATTTAATAATTTGTTTCCTAATTATAATTTATTTCCTAAGTTCAATTACAACATTAAAAATGAGTTGAAAGTATGTATAATTATAGTAAAAATGTGAGGGAATGTAAGATAAGAATTAAAACTGTTTTTGTAAACAAAAAAAATTTTAAACAATAATATACAATGTAAATGAGAAAAATATTATACAAATATAAAAATTTCAATAGTTCAAGTCAGATGAAGTCATTATAGACAGAGTGATAAGCCACTTTTGGCATGGCACACCACTTTTATCTAACCGCAATTTAAAAAATTAAATATTATACACATATGTGTAATAAAAATATAACAGATAAAACTACAATATAAAAGAACAAAACAATAGTGTGAATTGAAATTTAATTATTAAAAAATTTCTATCTTACCATTTGCATCAGAAATTTTTATTAAAGCAATTTACATCATTAATTTTTATTTTTGAACAATATCAGAGTTCAATTATGAAATAAATCTTTTTATTTAATACCAAAAATGTGGATGTGGTTATGAAACAGATTTTTTTCTTTTTCAAACTATCTTTGAAAACTCAAAAATAGCAACAGTAAAAAAATTTAAAATAAAAAAAATAAAAAAAACTTTTTTTTTCTTCTTCTTTTAAATTTTAGATGGGCATATATGTGTATTAGAGAGGGGTGAATTAGGCGAGGACTAAAAGCTGTTAAAATTTAGGAATGCTAAAAATCAATTGAATTCAAATCAGAACTACAACAATAGATATTGAATTACAACAATAGACATTAAATACAATTGTAATTATTTTTTATATGCTGCATAATCATAGTAAGGAATTTGAAAATGCAGAATTTGATAGGAATAAATTTGGAAATGTATACCCTTACCTAGCATGAGGCTACTAAAATCCAAGACACAACCCTGTATACAAGTTACATAGAACACCTTTGTATTCTGCTTCAAGCAATCCTGTTGGCCACCCGCACACAAAAACTTCAAAACAATTCTACTTTGAAGAATTTCCATAATTATTAAATTCATGTGGAACTTTTGAAATAATTGTTTTTTTTTTTTCACAGTAAAATATCTTCAACTAAAGTATTAAAATAAGCATATAAATTCTAACATTTTAAACAATACTACAGTTTCAAAGCAATACTGTTTAAAAACAATGACTTTTTTCCATAATTATCCATATGGATTAATACGAAAATTGCCAACTTTTTTTTTTTTTTTGATAATTTTCTGATTTGTAAAACTATCCTTTAATTAGGATGGAATTAAAAAGTTTTAGTAGCTTAAATTTTTCAACTGTAGAGGAGAAAGATTGTCAACAACCATATGCAAAATCTATCTGTTCTAAGATTTACAAGCATGCAAAATTGATATTTTCTGTGACCTTAAATAGCGAAAAATTCTGATAATTAGACTAAAAATCAGGGTTTGTGATTTTTTTGATTTTTTTTAAAAAAATCAAAAGAATAAGATTTTTTTGATTTAAATCGGATTTCTTTGATTTAAATCAGATTTTTTTGATTTTTATTCAAATACACTGTAAGAACTTTAATTTACGATTAAAAAAATTATAAATGTTTAAACAAATTAACTTAATATTAAAACTATATTGTAACAATATTTTAGAAGCTCTAACTAAAACATGGCTTTGAATGCATAGCAACCATTTTGAAAGAAATGCATGATTAAAATTTAAAGACTAGATGAAATAGAGAATTTAAAGAATACTTCAGGGGTCTGTTTGGGTCTTTCTGAGAGGTACCTATTTTGTGAAAATTAAAAATTATATTAAAAAATCAACACAAATATAGTAAAAATATGGATTTATTGTTTCTTACGAGACACAAAAATAAAATTTTAAGAATAAGTATTTTGTGTGATTATTCTATCATTTTTCCTAATGTTGAATTTGTAAAGGTACCGGCTTGGACAGACCCCTGTGCTTTAACTATTAAAACAAAGTTTCAGTTAGCAAACCATAACTTTAATTCAAAATTGTGATTTCTTTTTTTTTCTCATGATTTTTAAAATGACAAAATAAATGTAGCAGACTGTGTTTATAAATGTTAAAAAACATCTGAAGTATTCATCAAAAAATAAATAAATATTTAATCTATATATTTTTATATTAAAATATTCACTTTTAATTCTATATCAAAATAGATAAGTTAAGCTAAAAAAAAATTAGAAAATCTATGTATTCATTGGAATTTTTTTTCACAAAATTTCTTTATAGAAAATCAGATAATGTCAAAGATACTGTAAACATATTATGAGAAAAAAATACCAGTTAATAACCCTACTGCATCAAATAGACTTCGAAAGAGTTTGAAAGGGAAGAATGACACTATATTAGGAAAAAAAAAATTCTGAATTCATCAGCCCTTTTTTTTTTCTTTTTCTGTTTTTGGCATATTAGGGTAATTTCTTTTTAATATAACCTCAAGCTTCAGAAATATACATTTTCCACCAATAAAATATGATGTAGATTTTAATTCACGCTTTTTCATTCAAAAGGTAGAATTTTAATTAACATTATTTGTATTATTTTTTGAAAAAAATTCATGTTTATTAATTACTTTCTACAGCTATGCAAGTCTATATTAAGACAGCATTAAATGTTTACTTTAATCTGTACTTTCAATCTCAAGAATCAAAAGATTTTTAAAAATGTAATTTCAAATGTGTTGGAATTTAACACACACCAAGAAAGTAATTTCGTTAACTAAAATTAATTAATGCAGCAATTTATTTAAATTAAATTTTAATACTAAGAAAAGAAAATAATAAAAGTATCAAAAATTTAAAACACTGTTTTTTAACTTTTAAAATCAATATATATAGATAAAAAAAATTAGTTGATTTAAATCAATGATTTTTTTAAAAAAATCATTTGATTTAAATCATGATTTAAATCGTGATTTAAATCAAGCTGATTTAAATCAACGAAACCTGCTAAAAATACTTGAAGTTCACAGAATTGGAAAAAAAAACAAATCTAGATTTTATTTATAAGCTATCTAAAGCATTAAAAAGTCACCATTTCTTAACAAATTTCTTATTAGAATAATAACTTCATATATTTGGTCACCTTGGTGGCATCAAATTTTGGGCTGGATGATTTAGATGACAATTTAGGATAACCAATAAGCTATGATTCTAAAACTCTGAATAGATATTTTTGTGAATAAATGGTAACTTAATAGTAATAAGAATGGTAATGGAATAATAAGAGCTACAGAAAGCTTATTAACAAAATCTATTATAATTTCCTCATTTTTTAGATTTTAGGCATTTTTTACTCAAATTTTGACACTCAGTTCAATGTGACAGAAAATATAATATCATAGCTATTAAATATATTGCATAACTCTTAATGATGGAACATAGTTGGCAAGATTTCCACACAACCACTAAAAGATTTAAGTTACTTCAATTTGTTTGGTCCACTCTGCTGCTAATACTTTGCATCGACTTTATAACATAACAAACTGGTCCAGAAATGATTCACTTTCTTGCTCTAAATGATCAAATACATGTCCTTCAAACACATCCTGAAGGACTTTAGAATCAAACTGCTTTTGGCATATGGGGCAAACTCTTTCTTGCACAACCTGAGTAGTATTTGTTTCTTCTCCAAGCACGCAGAAATTTCCACTTCTGCCATTAGAAGTTGGGTGAATTGTGAGATCGTCCTCATAATTCCAAGCAACGGTAGGTTCTCTTATGATATGTAAATCACTGCAAAAAGGTTCAACTAAGTTATTATGAGAGACTTTCTGAGGTGACTCCTGACTTTTGATTGTAGAAGGTTGATTGATGACTTTCGATTGTGTACACACACCAGTCTCCCGAGTATCTTGGTTTCTTCTTTTAGCCGAGATTGATTCCTTTAGCCCAAAATCTAATGAATATAATGTTAATTATTGATTAATAATGTATTTGCACACACACAATTTCATACACAAAATTTTAAAAATAAAGTAAACAAAAATCATTTCTTTGAAAAAAAATCTAGTTTATTTTATTTAAATCTAACTATTTGTTTAAATCAGATTTATTTATTTTTTTGAATTTACCAACTAAAGCATCAGATTAAATGTATAAATACTAATGCTTTTGAAGAGAAGATGTAGCTTAAATACTAAAATTATCAAAATTATGTAGTTAGTACAAACTAATCATTTAATACATAAAATTTATTCAATTTCAATGAATTTTAAAGACAGAGAGGCAATTTGCCAATTGAATATGTAAGTAAGAGTAAACTATTTTAGATTAGAAAACGCGACTGAAAAAAAACTATTAAAAGTTATTCTGGGTAGAATAAATCTTTCTTCATTACTGATATAAACCAATAACATAGCAGTTTTAAAAGCACTTGGACTTAAATAAAAGTAAAACTAAGAGGGTATAATTGCAATAAGTTTATTCTAAGTAAATTATTTAACATACTTATCCATTTCATCATCACAAGTGAATTAGCTACTTTTTTTTCTAATTTTTGTATTTATTCTTAGAAAAATTTTTTTTAACTTTCTTCTTTTCTTTGGAGATTTTATTGCCTGTAAAATGTGTAACTACCAGAAAGTTATAATTGAAAGCTTTATAACTTTCTGGTAATACTTTTGGTCTTTTTTTTATTATTATTATTTATTTAGTCATTGAAATATTTTAATTTACTAACACCCCTTTTATGATTTCTTCCTATAAAACCTACATTGCCAATGAAACCAGAGTATAAAAAAAATCACAAAATAAATAATATTTATCAATTATATTATATAAAAAAATATTTTAGATAAAAAGTAATAATTTTTTATAGATAAACACAGTTGATTAAAATCAAATTATTATTTTTTGAATCGAGCAATTTAAATTACGATTCAAATCATGCCAACCTAGGATTAAAGCCAGAAGTTTCAAATGATTGATTTATTTTAAACTCTTTTAAGTTTTATAACAACGCTACTAACCTTTATTATAATCTCTAATTAGCAAATACAGCTTTTTTCGTTGTTCAAGTAGATGATGTTTTAAGGAACTTGCTTCAGATACTAAATTAGATATCGTTTCCTCAAGCTCCTCCTTGCAGTCTGTTTGATCACCCTCTTCATCGTTTTTTGTGTCCTGAACAGAAATGCTTAAATTCATCTCCTGAAGCTCTTTCATTTCTCGCTTCATTTGCTGAAACATTTCCTGGGACACTTGCCTCACCGCTAATTCCTCCTGTTTAGGGTCTGTTACAGAATTACCTGACAACCTAGACAAAGATGGATTCAATAAACTTGACGCAGTTGGAAAAGAGTTATACTTATTTAAACTCTGAGAAAGTCTCTGCATACTGCCCGATTTTGTATCATCTATGAGAACATTTCTGAGCTTTAGATGTTTATTTTCTTCCTTAGCTTGAGTCAGTTGACTTTCTAATTCTTTAGTTTTATCAAGCAATTTAGAAACTGTCTGATCTAGTTCTTTGCCTTTCTGTTGAGCAACATTACACTCTTTTTGCAAACGTAGACTTTCTGTTTTCCACCGTATGACTTCAGATGAAAGCTGAACTTTACAAGCAACTAAAAGGTCAACATCAGCATTTCCTTTATTTTGACTGCTCGTATTCATTAGGTCAGCTTTTTGGCGGCAATTAAAATTGACTTCAGGAACTTGCATGCTAGAAACTTTATCCAAAACTGGCATTAATCGTAAAATAAAACAAAAATGTATTTTTTTAAGTCAAAAGACTAAAACTATAAATAAGTCTTCTTGAGCTTACAATTCACTGAAATATGCCACTGTTTGAAACAGTTTTCATCTTGAAATCTAAATTAAAAAAAATAACACCTTGTAAATTATGTGTAAAAAAGGTAACAATCTAATCTAAATAGAAAAAAAGTAACTAAATTAAGGGTAACGCACTATAAACTTTTTGTAATTTGCTAGTTAAAATTTTTTTTTTAATTAAACAAAGGGTTTGAAGACATCACTCTTAGCAATGTACTGTGCAATTCATTAAATTGGCTTAAGTTTTTATAAATTCCCAATAAAAAGTTTAAACCGATTATAATCCCTAACTTGGAAAAACCATAACCTAATAACAAATTAAGAGCCCTGACTCAAAGTAGTGTCTTAGCAAGGGTATGTTTAAAAGAAATTTGGGTCCGTTAACGGACCCTTCACAAAATATCTTTTCATAAAAACGGACCCTTCACAAAATATTTTAACTTAAAAACAGACCCTTCACAAAATAATTTATCTTTTAATCGTACCCTTCCCAAATTTGTTTATCTTCATTACTGTTTAATGGAATAAACCCTTCCCAGGAAAGAAAGACAGATCTAAATGAATTAAGTTTTGTCTTCGGTAGATGCTTCTTCCCTTATTCGTCTGAAATGAATATTCTGCGTTCAGCAGTATAGGCTAAATACCAAATATTTGTATGTTGCATCTCTAATTTAGTAGCAGCTATTGCTGTTTATTTTTTAAAATTTAATTTTTTTAATTATAATTTTACAGTGTTGAGCATAATCTTGTATGTCTTTACAATTTAAAAACTCTTCGAAAAAGTTTTTTGCAATAACAGGACCCTATTTGCACAAATTCACAAAACAGGACCTTGGTTGAAAGAATGTGACTTAATGTTTATTTTATATTCACAAATTACGAGTAATTTTTTCACAATTTTACAAAAACGGACCTTTCACAAAATATCTGGGCAGACCCCTGCTTAGTTATAGATATAAACAAATTAAATTTTCCAAACTTCAATCAATTAATTTAAACTATCAGATTGGAATCACTGATTCAAATTTAATTAGTGTCATAATCAGGGTTTGGTTTTTAATATCAAAAATCCAGACCAAATTTCTTTAATGTCATTGGGGACACTATTAAATATGATATCGTACACATTACTTTTATTATATACTGTTATCATTATGATTTATAACATATATCATTTATAACATATATCATTTATAAAAAATACAGCCAAAATTATTAAAACTATTAATTGGTTCTCAGTATTTGTTGGTATTAGTTATATGCCATGGAGTTGAATGTTTGATCATACAAGCAAGGTTTTAGGGGAATTCAGGCAGCCATGAAAACATTTTTGGTCTAAAAAAATTCCTACAAAATTTTTTAATGTTAAGAACTGTGTCGCTTTGCAAAATGTTTCCTTGTAAAAAAATTTTCATAAATACACAGTTTAATTATAAAATAATTCAAGAACATAATTGATTGATCACTTGTAATTTTATCTCTATGTTTATTAATAAATATTTTCTAAAAGAAATAGCTAAGAATTATCTTACTCTAAATCTTTGGTTTTATGACAGTTGTCAAAAAGGGGTTTTTGACATGACAGATAAAACTGCCAATTGCCAAAAACTTGCCAACCCTGTATAAATATCAAATATAAGTGACAAATTCAAAAATTGTTGTCATTTCAACTTTAGAGATGCCTTTTTTATTTGAAAAAAAATGCATACTTTTTAATTAATATATTTTGTATAAAAGAATTAATTGTGTACTTATACTGTTAGGCTAGGAACTAGTAAGCTATTTCATAGCTATTGTAAATCATAAAAAATAGCATCAATAAATAAAATATTGATACTTATGATACTTATTAAATCATATTTTCATTATTTCAAATGACAGGGGCAAAAGCAAAATTAAAAAAAAGAAATTCTGCACCTTTTAAATTGTACCTCTCATCAGCTAAGCTAAATGACCCTTTCAGACAATTTTATAATATTTCCAGAATAAAAACTGAGAAGTTTCATAGATTTTCTTAATTTACATTGATATTTTTAATGATCATTTAAAAATAATTTTATAAATTATTCATTAATTTAAACATACATTTCCGAATTAGTACCTATTTACGTCAACAAATTCTTAATACCAAGAGATTCCTAACTTACAAAAAAAATTTTAAATGGTTGCGGTGGCTGCGAGTTAAACCCTTCCAGTTGGTTGTTATCTGGGATGTGTCCTTCAGAGGCAAAACTTTTAATTCTCAAAACTTGGCAATTACTTTAACGACAGAAATCCTCCTTTTCATACCTAAGGCTTCAGGTTATTGAACAATAAATTCCATTTAGTAAATTCTTCATTAATTATTTCAAGATCTAGGACTTTCAAAAAATTTTATGATCTCACATTTTTAATTTATTTTGCTTTGAACTAAAAAGAAAAATATATTTACTATAAATTGTAAAAAACCAAATTTTCAATTAGAAATATTTAATGCAGTAACATAGATGACAAGAAAAATAAAAGATAATATTGTATTGTAGGTTTTCAAAAAAAATTTTATGCTTAAATATATTGAAATACACTAAAGCTCAAATTGGGTGTAATCAACAGCTGGCCATGAATTTCCAGAGTTGATTTCAATATTCCCCGACAACTTCTTCCTGAGGTTTAATAAAGCGCTATTTCAGAGAATACGCATTAAAAAAAAAAGAGCTATATTTTTTTTCTTAATTACTACTATCAAAAATCATAACAATAGCTTATCATTAGAAAAATTTTGTTTACAGTATTTATTGAAAAGAATATATGAAAAGTTTATCTCAGTACTATAAAGATACAATCAGTTTTAAAAGCACAATTTTTGAAAGTTATTTTATTTTATTAACTTAAAAATATAAATAAATTTTTACTTGTCAAATTTGCAGAAATTGCCATAAGTTTACAAGACAAGTTACGTCACTTTGATCTATTTCCAGAATTATTGGTGTGTGGCACCTTACTACTCAAAACCTTACTCGTTACTCAGAACATTCTGAAAAAACTAATAAATTGAATAAAATGATAAGTTTCTTTTTTCTTTTTTTTATTATAGTAACTATTTAGGCAAATTTAAGTTATATTTATCACATTTTTAAAGACTGATACAAATAGTAAGCTACAAGCTAACTACTATAATAACTAATATATTATTCTGCAGACGTCTTCTGTCTTCTATCCTTCGGTCTTTTTGTTTACAATCAAATACTTCGTGTGCATGTGTATCTATGCATAGTTTTTGTTAAATCTTGTCAAATAACAAAAACTTTAGTTTAAAAAAATTATAATTATGCCTAAATCTAAAAGAAATAAGCAAAGTAAGTGGTACTTATTGCCATACTAAAATTATTTGTGTTGTATGTGCACGTGTTATAGCTTCGTTTTCTATGATATGTAGAATCTATAATTGTTGTTTAATATATAGAATCTATAACTGTTGTTTAATATGTATAATCTATAATGAAGGGGAAGATTGTAGATATAGTGTAGACTTAATCGTCAGACATTTCAATAATTGAAAATGAGAATTTTGGCATGAAAATTACAGATTGGGAATTAATCTGTGCAATTTTTACAATAGTATTTATGGAACGTTATTACAAATGAATGTTTGGTTTTTTGTAAGAAATTAATAGAACTAATTAAATCAGTCATTTGTCATACATTCAACTTTTAAGTAAATTCACAGTTCAGCCATAATCTTATCTAGATCACAAAATTTTCTGTTTTATTAGTTCGTGATTCTGGGGATATAATGATCTGTTGCGCCAACTAAAATTGCCAAGGTGCTACATAGATTTTAATATTGCAACTTTTTTTAAAAAAAAAAAACATGTAGATGTTTGCTTGGGGATGGTTACGCTTTATACCCTTCAAGTTGATCCCTTTCTGTGGGTTTTTTTTTTTTAGTTTCTCTCGGGCCGCTGCCTGCAAGTTGCCAAGACTTTGCTATTATTCTGCCACAGATTAGGACGCCTGTGATTCTCACTGAATCAGTCCATCTAAAATACATTGCAGATTAGTTGTCAAATGCCTGATCTTTTTATAAAAATTTCTTTGAATCTGATTTCTTACAAAAAATAACTATATCTATTAACGAGTGCTGTTCTTCTCTTAAAATTTAATATTTTAATGTAAAGTATTTGTATTTAGATTTTCATAGACTGGAAATGATTTTAAGGATATTTTTCTTATTTTAGTTGAGCTATCTAAAACTAAAAAACATGGATTGGAAGGAAAGAAAAAACTATATGAAGAGGTTTGTATTTTAAAAATAAACTTGAACTTTTTATTTATTTTTCTCATAATAAAATTCAATTTATAATTAGAGTTTTACCTAATTATGCATTCATAATATGTGTTTCCTAAAATGTTAAAAAGATATAAACATATTGTATTTATGTTACAAATGCCATGAAAATTCTTTTTTAATGAATCTTTTACTTTTTAGATTCAATCCTGTCTTGAAACATACACTCATTTATTTATTTTTACTGTTAATGATATGAGAAATTCTAAAATAAAGACTGTTCGAGAGCAATGGAAACATAGTAGGTAAGTATCTAATTTTAAATTTTTATTTCACTTTTCTTGCTTCTTTGAATATGAATGTGTGACTTCTGCAATAACCAAAATCATGAATTTTAAATAACTCTTTTGTTATAAATAAACTTTTAAAAGAAATAGCATACTATAGTTATTTATACTTAAATAAGCTATTAGCATATTGTCACTGAAAAAATCTTCTGACTTGTTGCTATGAAAATAGGTTATTCCATTTTATAACAAGTGTAATTCGAAGCATATATTACATTTGACATAAATGGAGAACAACTTAACTAGAGGACTTACTAAGACTTTATTATTTTTTATTTCTTTTCTTTTTCTTTACGTTCACTATTTATTTCAAGTGACAAAATTTTAATTCCATCCCCCCTGTCAGCAAAGATGATTGTGCTCCGGAAAAATCTGGATTTTTAGCTAACCGCGATCCGGAAATTCAAGGTCCAGAAGCTTCGAGAAATCATCTATCACGTTTATGCTAAAAAATACTTGTATATTCAGGGGTTTGTCCAGGCCGAATTTACTACCGTTTAGCGGTACCTTCACAAATTCAACTTTAGGAAAAACTGTAGTTTCACAAAATACTTTTTCTTATAATTTTATTTTTGTATCCCTTACGAAACGATAAATCTATATTTTTACCTTGTTTTTGTATTGATTTTTTAATAGAATTTTTAATTTTTCACAAATTATGTCTAAATTTTCCCAAAATAGGTATCTTTCAGAAAAACCTTGACAGATTCCTGATATTTTATTTAATTACATCTCTTTCAATTGTAAATATTTTTTCTGGTATAATAATAAAAGTGATAAGAGATACAAGTAAACTTCATAATTATTCATTTAAATAATTAAAAGTACCTAATTATTCATTTAAATTATACTTCATATAATTTATTTAGAATTTCATGTTTAAATATCATATATTAAATTTATAAAGATTTAAATTTTTTTAAATGCGTCCTTAATGATTTCACTCGAGAAATTTTCAAGATTTTTGAGTAGGGCTCACACTCACCCTTGTGTCATAAAATGGATTAACTTGTTCCCGTATCAACCAGCAGGAACACAGAAGTTTTCTCTGAGTGTTAAGTTGGGGAAAGTTAATGTTTTAAATCTTTTTACTGTAGAAAAAAGTCTGCATTGTTAAAAGTATAAATTTATAATAAATACTCTTTAATGGTATGAAAAAAGGGGAATATTCCATTATTGAACGGTATAAATCAAGATACTAATTGTAAAAGAAAAAAGAATGGTTAATTTTATGGTGAAAGTTGTAGATTTTTATCAGTACTCTTAAATAAAATGAAAAACTTTTTTGCGAACGCATGATCTTGATTAAAAGACTTTCTGCAAGCAATAAACTCTTGTAACTTGTTTCATCACTTTTGTTACCACCTTACTTTGACTAAATTTCTTTTAAAAAAAGTTTTATTAATTTCAAAAATATGTGACATTTTTTAATTTACATTGACATTTTTTAATTTACATTGACATTTTTTAAATAATTGAAAAAAATACTGGAAATTTGAGCTTAAAAAAAAAAGTATGTAGAAAGCATATATCTATAGAATGTTATCAATATTTCAACAGAAAATATTGATACAAAATTTTATTTAATTTTTAAAATTGTATAAATATAAATCTGAGTGTGATTTATAAATCATTCAAATATGAATCTCAATATTTAATTTAAAATACTGTGAATGCAAATCTCAATGTTTGTTTTTGAAATCACATGGTTACAAATCTCACTGTTTGATTTCAAAATAATTTTAATACAAATTTACATGATTGATTTTTAAATCATGTAAATATTAATTGTTGTAAATAATTTTTAAGCCAATATAATGCTGTATATAACTTTTAAACTGTGTAAATACGAATCATGATGTGTGATCTTAAATCATGTAAATATAATTTTTATAGTGTTTGTGTATGTGGGAAAAACGTGAAAGCAAATATTTTACATTAAATTTTAAAAAGAAAAAGAAATGCAATCGTGTGACAAAAGCTGTTGTGCAAAGCAGGGGGGGGGGATTCTTATTTGTTCATTCAATCTCTAACAGATTAACCTGTGTGTTGGGATAGGGGAATTCAGCCCCTTTTTTTTAATCTTTTAATGAGTAATATTAATAATTTTTCCCAAACATTATCGCACGTTGTTGTATATTATATGTATCTGTTAATCATATAGTTTCATTTATGTTTCACATCGAAGCAGGGTGTAAATGATTTTAATCAAATGATTAAAATCATGATTTAAATCAAATGATTTTTTTAAAAAAATCACTGNATGTTTATTTGATCACTTTCAAACTTAACTTTTGAACTAGAATCACATCCCTACAATCGAGATCTACTGTTTATTTTATTAATAGTTGATACATAGTTAAATTTTTTTATTTTCAGGTTTTTCATTGGAAAAAACAAAGTTATGGCAAAGGCACTTGGTCTGGGTCCAGAAGATGAATTTAGAATGAATCTTCATAAAGTTGGACAACGTCTCAAAGGAGAAAGGGGTCTTTTGTTTTCCAATCAATCTATTGAAGAAGTTTTAAAGTAAGGAGAAAAGAAATTTAATTCCTTGAGAAACAATGCAAAAATAATAATTTTTGTTTGTAGCTTCATGTAACTTTTGATAAATTGTCCTAAATAGAATTTTTTTAGAAAAAGAATTTCCTACAAAATATTTTTGTATGTTTTGCATTGCTCTGCAACTTGGATGAATTTATAATTGTAGAAAAAGGAATTGGTTTGCTAAAGATATAAAATGCAGCATGTAACATATTTTAAAAACTTGTTGGAAATTATTTTAAATTTTAAAAAAAATGCATTTTTATTTATTAATTACATTCAGTAATGTTCTTCTAAGAAAGGAGAAAGAATAATGTAAGTGTAATTATTTTCAAACAAAGAGTTAAATCATCAAATCATTAATTTCTTCTGAACCAGTATTTTTTTTTTGGGGGGGGGGAGATTGGTCTGCTATTAAAGAAATTTTAATAATAATAATAAAAGCTGTATGTCGCTGGCTTCAATTGTGTCAGGAAAACATATTTTCTGAGATTATTTTGTTAAAAGAAAAGAAAGTGTTTTAGTTAAAATTAATCAGTTTTCCCCCCAGATAACTGAAGTATGCAAAATTAGTTAATTACTCTGTATGTTTCAATAAGAGAAGAATATGAGTATTTTATATTATATTTCATAGGCTCAGGAGATGAAAGTTGTGTCAAATATTTTGGAAAAGTATTTATTAAATTTTGTTTTTTCTGTAATTGTGTTCACTATTGTAAAATTTGTATTAATGTGCAAATTTTTTTTTCAGATGGTTTCGCTCTTATTCAGAAAGTGATTTTGCTAGATCTGGTAACCGTGCCACAGAAACTGTAGTTTTACAGGAAGGGCCATTAAATCAGTTTCCACATAATTTAGAACCATATTTGAGACAGCTTGGTTTACCAACAACTCTTAAAAAAGGTACAACTGCTCTTAATCATTTTTTACCTTTTAGGTTTCCATTTATAGTATGCATACTATACTCATAACATGTACACTACTAAGTTCTTTCGAATTAATATTTGTAGCATAGATCTGTTTAACAATTGCATAATCAAAAGATGTACGTAACAAATCTTTCAATGTATATTTATGTATCTTAATTTTGGAAAATTGAATTTTTTCTTCCTTTTTCTAAAATAGTGAAAGAAAAGAGTACAGTTTTACAAATTTACTTTCAGTGATTTGTTTCTTTGGAATAAGAAAATTGATTATTGTTTGAATTAAAATAAACGAACTATTTGCGTCTTAGGGTAAAGCAAACTTAGTGTCTACCTAAGTAAATTATAAATATAATTTGGATACTTGGGAATATAATTTACATAGCTGCCAACTCTACTGGATTTTCCAGTAGACTACTGGATTTTTCCAGTTTCTCCTGGTTTATTGGTTTAATAAAAATTCTCCTAGTTTTTGTGCATTTTAGAAAATTCCCTAAAATTGTGAGTAAGTTTCCTACAAAAATCCCTATTGAAATAGAATCTTTAGACAGATTATTATTGCTTGCTTGAATAAATAAATAAGTATTAGTACTTAAATACTAATACGTAGTGAAGCGAGCCTCATTTATAAAAATCAGTTTAGAACCTTTCATTTTGTTCTAAAATGTTCAGTTTATTTTTATTCAAAACTTTTGAAAAAGAAATCTTTTAACTATCTTTGATGAATTAAATGCTGATTACTATTTGAAATTATAAGTAAACATAGTACATAACATTTCAGGTACATTTATTGTCAATCATAAGAGGAAAATTTTGCAGTCTTTCTATTTTGATGACTATAAAAATCCCTAAAATTCCCTATGCATAAAATATTTAGTACAGTATGAAACAATTATCATGAAATTTATATTATTTTGCAAAATCTCCTGGTTTTTTTCTTATCCATGTTGGCAGCTATGAATTTAATGTAATGAAATATATAATGAAGAAAAAAGAAACTTTTATCGCAACCTGTTTGTTGTGATACAAATAATGAGTGAAAAAAATTGCTTATTTTTCTACATAATTGCTAATATGATCAATATTAGTTTTACTTATATTAGATATTTATTACTGTGTGTATAGTACTAGTATTTTATCATACTTGAGTTTTTATTATTTGGTAATAATATAGTTACCTACTTTTAACAGTATATTTTTGATGGAAATTGTTTAGCAAGATATCCAATAATGATATTTAGTTTTACTTGCATTAGATATTTATTGTTATGTGTATAGAGTATACATATTTTATCATACTTAAATTTTTGTTGTTTAGTAATAATAATATAGTTGTTAATCCAATAGTATTAACTCTTTAGCAATTTAGCAGGTTCTGCAGATTATTTTTAAGTTTTCTTTTTACTTTTAAAAGCACACAGGGAAAAGTTGCTAAGATTATTTTTTTTTAAAGCACCTCTAGACTTGTTTATAATTTAAAAAAAATTAAAAAAGATGGATTAAGAAAACACTGCAAAGAAACGAAAAATAATTTTTTTTTTTCTGTTACTTGATCAAAAGCTTACATGCATAGGGATACATAAAATTTAACTTGAAACTGGGTAACTGGGTAAAATTTAAATATTTTTTATGTATAATTTTTAAGTGAAACTTGAATTTATTTATTAAAACAAACTCAAAAATTCCTACGACTAAAACATATTAGTGCTTTAAGCTTAAGTTAGCAGCTATGTAATGATATTTTTAATTTTTTTTATTAAATATTAAAGTGAATATGGCAACTGAATATGTAGAACTTATTATATTCAACAAAATATGCCTATATATATTTTTTTTTTTTATATATATACATACATACCAGGGTTGGGGTTTTGGACAGGACATGTGGGTTTTACTGTCCTAAACTGGATAAAACTGTCTAAGTGTCCAAAACCTTGAACTTTGGTAAAAAGTAAAAATTCTATAGGTGTAACCATTGTCATACCCTCCAACTGCTACGGAATTTCCGTAGTTTCAGAAATCTTCTTTTCAGACGGTAGCAAAATTAATGTCTTAATATTTAAAAAAATGTAATTTTAGCGTAACTTGTCCACTATTACTTATAAAAGTGCAGGCCATACGGCTAGATTCTTAAGTTCTGATAAAAGTTTTATGAGAGATACATTTGCTTTAAAAATTTCTACTTTGGTTCGCTTGAAAGGGTTACTTTTGGTTACCACTAGAAAGAATTATTTTCAAAATCCTCATAAGTTGGAGGGTATGCATTGTATTGCTAGCTAAAAATTGTCAATATGAAAATGCTGTCTATATATAAGAATTATAAGTTTAAACCAAGGGAATATTTCTTTCTTTTTACCTATCACTTTAGCTCTTTAATGGTGTGAAGCTAAAGTTTCTGATCCAAATACAGCTATTTTTACATTATAAATATATTACGGTAGTCAGAATTATCATGTATCTATTACTTAAGAATTGGTAGCATACTTATGCTATCAATTCTTTTTCTCGTTTTGAAAATGAAACTATCGTTTTTTACAAACGTCAGGCACAAATCGATAAACTTAATAGCCCATTGGACATTGAATCTTATAGTCTTGTTCCTCGGTATCAGCCCGAAGGCTCTCGCCGATTCATCTGATATATTAACAATAAAAAGTGGTAAAAACGTTTCTAGGACAAATATAAAATGTAGGAGGATAAATATGAAATTTAAAAGAATGAGAAGTTATCAGCGAAAGCACAGGTTAAGCNTGTTTAAATTGAAGAGTCAAGCAATATTAATAAAACATTATACTTTTAAAAACAAATATTCTCTAGTATATTTAATAATCAATATGTTATTAGTTCTATGTTTATTTTATCTCTTAAATATTGTTCAGATAAAACTGTGACATAATTTGAGTAAAAGGGTTTTGAACAGGACGGTTTAAACCGTGGATTAATCCATTCTGTCCTTAACCTTGCCAATCCTGATACATACACACATAAACTTAATAACCATTCCTCTGAAGTTTGAATTGGCGAAAATTGTTTTAGATTAATTGATTTTTATAACATGAGGCAATGCTCTTTGTATGCTACTCCTGCCAGAGGGATCTAGAGGGTACGACTGGACTGTCATAATAATCTTAAAAAAATATATAATAGTAATAACTGTAATAATTCATAGGATTGATTAAATTCTTTTAGTTACAAAAACTATGTTGAAAAATTTATTTTTAATTGTAAAAAATTTTTATTAATACTTTTTCTGAAAATATTTGTTAGCTTCTTTTTTTTTTTTTCTAGTGTGATTGATAAAAAATTTTTGCTAATTATCTATAGTAATACCTATTGTGTAACAAATTAATTTAACAGTAATTTTAAATAAATATGATTTTTTTAATATAATATTAATGCTCAAATTTTAAATTTGGAGTTTAAATAATTCGATAATAATTTAAATAGATTTTAAAGAAGTTTAAATGGTCACACAGATTTTTTTTTTTTTTTTAGAATTTCAAAGATTTATTTATAAATGATGCTGAATGTTTTTTTGCACTCTCTTGATAAGATTTCTGCTTTTGTATTGAAAAATAATTTATCATTATGATGCAATATGTTTGGGTTAACAAAATAAATTTTAATTTAAAATAGAAACCTTTTGATTAGATAATTTTTGTATATTTTTTAGGTGTGATTCATTTGGTCAAGGACCACACAGTTTGCAATGTTGGTGATGTCCTTACTCCAGAGACAGCAAAAATAGTTGTAAGTATTAACATCTAGTAAGACTCAGGGGTGATTGTGGAACTAAATAAAAACTGAAAATAACACCACAGTGCAAAAACTATGACAAAATATCTATTTATATACCATACATGTTTCATATTTGACATAATTTATTTAAGATTAACTTACCTGCCAATGAAGTTTTTCACACCTTCATAATGTATATTTTGAGAAAAAATTAGCTCTTAAGAATAGCTGCATTGGATTTTAAAATAAAAATTGGATGTAAATTTGAATCACTATATTGGATTTTTATATCACGTGAAGGTGAATCTTAATATTAGATTTTAAAACATTTGAATGTGAATCGCAATGTACGATTTTTAAATTGCGTGAATATGGATGGAAACGTGTAACTTTTAAATCAGGGAAATACAAAAATTTTTGTTTGATGTATTGTTTGAATTGTCGCCCGAATATGAATCACGATATTAGGGGATTCTGGGGCATTTTCATGGATTCAAAATGTATTCAAATCCATTAAAACATGGAAATCGGATTGAATTGTCTGTCTGAAAACATCTCATTAACAAGCTTTAGTAGAAGTTTCAAGATTTAATTTTTAGATTGCAGAACTCGGTGAGAATTTGGAAACGTGGAAAGCCAATGGCCTTGAGATACGTAGAATTTTGCGAAATTCATAGGAAAATCCAATGCCATTCCTAGTTTTTAGACTGAAGGAATAATACAAGGGAGAAAAAAACAAAATTTACGAGTTCACCTGGAATGCAATCGCCCCTGAAGACTGATAAATATTATTAAAATTTTTAAAGTGAAGAATGGCATTTTTTCATTGTTTTATTTATAATTGTCTTGAGTTATGTTTGTGACTAAATTTGCAAACTTAAAGCAGCATCTGGTCTGGTTCTGAATTGGTTTATAATAAAATAATCAGAAACATCGTTTTAATTGAAATAAAAACAAAAAGTAATGTTATAAATGTTAATAATAGGTGCCAAACCTTTTTCTCTATTGATGGATTTAGTTCTTTTTAACTGAAAAAGTTTGATGGAAAGTACTTATGTAATATTTTTATAAATACCTCACCTTTTCATAATTTATAATATATTCATTGTTATTTTATAACAGCCAACCCAATTCTGGGTTTACGACTACTAATGTTCAACTTGGTAATTTTCCTTGTAAATTTGATCCCAATCCAAAAGACAAAGGAGCGGGTCAGTACCCCCAGAGGCAGGGCTCGAAAAACCGCCCATCCTCGGCAGTCAAGAATTCCACACGGACAACAAATTTCTCGAATCCAGCATCCTAGCGGACGGCCATTTTCCCGTTAATGTTCATGATACATTTTCAATTTTTGTTATCTTACAAGACTCTAGCGCCTCACTTTTAAAATGACCCTCTAATCTTGAAATACAGCAACATACTGCTCAAGGTGGAATTGATGTTTTCTCTGTCTGGGAGTACTGCAGCGGTTGAAAGGGTCTTTTCAGCAATGAACTTACAAAAAAAACACATTACTTACTGGTCTTAAACAAGAAGCGTTAAACGCATTTATGAACATCTACCTAAATGGAAAACCTCTTTCAGATTTCTGTGCAGGAACCTCTGTAAATGATTGGTTTGAATGTGGAACTGGCAAACGTCATATTTGATTCATTTAAAAAATGCAGTACCATCGGATAAATTGACATGATAATTGACAGATAACTTAACCTTTGTTATTTAAATTATTTCATCGAAGAAATAAATTATTTCACATATTCTTTTATTACTATATAATGTAATCCTAGTAACTACTAATTCATTGTGCAATTTATATAAATGTTTGTAATAAATAAGAGAAAATTATATTTTTATTTATTTAGAAGCGACGGGTTAGTTTCAAACGAGGACGGGTACATTGTTGGACAAGCCGTCCTCGGGGAGGGATAAAATTTCTGCATTTTTTCGAGCCCTGCCCAGAGGTATTGATTTGTTATGGGAACATGGTGGACTTTGTGACTCGACAGATTTAACGTGCATCAGTCACCATTTAGTACACGGGTAGTCTTCGGCCGGTGGGGATTGAACTCCCGATCATTTGGGCATAGGTCCAGTGCCCTACAAACCAGGCTATACCTGCCACTATATTCATTGTTAGAAGATATTTTAACTAGATAACTTTGCTCTTTCTTTGTTTTTCACTGCCATTTTACTTAAATATTTTTATAAAGATGGGGATAATTTTGGGTAAATTCTGCATCCTCATTCTGTTGTTCCTTAAATCTGTTGACTAGTATCAAATTAGAATACATATGTAACCTTTATTGTCTTTGTATTCAAGAAAAATAAATGTATTATTAATCTTTTTCTATACATGTATGTTTTTTTAAAAGTCATTATTGTAATTGCATTTATTACAATTGTAATTAACTTATGATCCCATTGGTATTTAACTTTCTAAGTGCAACTCTGAGATTTTGTATAATTTATGTTTTCAAAATTAAATTATTGTGTTTTTCCTTTAGAAACTCCTGGGTTACGAGATGGCCGAATTCTATATCAAAATTGAATGTGTCTGGTCTCAAGATGGATCATTCTCAGATTTGACAACAGGAGAGGAATTAAAAGAAAATATTGATCAGTCAAACTCTGCATCTCTACCAGTGCAAACACCAATTGATGTTGCCTCTATGGATGTTGATGAGGTAGTAGAACCTAGTGATGAAATGATTGAGAATATAATAATGAAGAATAGAAGGAGTCGTGCAGAAAATAAACTTAAGCAGTTAGATAATGAAGCTTCTCCTGATGAAAGTTCTGATGGCGAAGAAGTGGCAGAATTTGATGGACTCAAAACAGCAGACAAAGAAGCTTCATTAGAAACCTCAAATGAACTTTCTGCAGATAAAATTGAGAAAGTTATTAATACTAGTACTACTGAAATAATTAGTAGATCCAGCTTTGATAAAGATAAAATTAATGTTGTGGAAGATGTTAAGATCACTAATGATGCTGTAAGTGACGATGAAAATGAAGAAGTAGCTGAGTCAATAAAAGATGCTAACGCCCTCACTGATGAAATTGAAAATGAAAGTAGTGAAGAAGAAGATATTCCTGAATTAGTACCTGATGGATCAGTTGCTAGTGATGAAGTCAACACGCATAATATGGACAAAATTAATGAAATTTTCCTACCCAATGGAAGTGATAATTCTTTTAAAAGGTTGTCATTAGATAAGAGTGTTTTGCAAAGTCCCGTATTGCAAGAAAAGCGTCGATATTCTCCAAAAATGACACGCTCCGCAATGAAAGCTAAGAAAGTTGTTTCAAAAATTGATTCCGGAAAAGCTAACGTGAATGATGAATTAAATTCTTTGAAAGAAGAGGTTGGTGAGATGAAACCAGCAAAAGGTCAATCTAAAAAAATGCACAGTACTGGAGAAAGTCCCATAGAGCGCACACTTCGAAATCGATCCATTAAGATTGTAAAAAAATAAAAAATCTGTTTAAATCTTATTTTACTTTTCATTTATGTGTCTGTTTTCTTTAAGTAAATGTATTTGGCTGGTTTGGCACTTTTTTTTTCATTGAAAACGGCCTTAATTAAAATTTTATTAAACAGGGGTCCAAAAGTATAAAACTAAAAATTTGTAAATCCTTTTTAAAAAAACGGCAAATTTAAGCATGATAACTGCACATTTATATGCTAGCAGCTTTACAGCAAATTATAATGCATAAGTATCAAAATAATTTTTTTCAATTAGTTGATGAAAAATTACTAAATCAATTTATTTCGTATGAATAAAATAGTTAGAAATCATATCATTCATTCTTGTAGGACATAACGTTCATTCTTCTATCTGGAAACAATACAAAGAAAGAGTTTGATGAAATAATGTCACATCATTATAAAAAAAGTTTGGCTTATATTGTCCCAAGCTATTTAATTTTTTGAAATATTTATTTACCCTAAATGGTTTCTTTGTGAGAAAGCTATTAGATTCAATTGTTATTCATCATTCAAATTTCTTTAATTTACGAAGTTAATTATTGAAAAAATTTGGAATATGAATGAGAAAAAATTTGAACTACTTTTTTTGGATTGTATATTTAAGTACAAATATAATTTCGATAAACTTAACAGATTTTTTTTAGTAACTATTAGACTGTTTTTTTATAATTAAAAAATACCAAAACATATTTTTGCTTGTAATTTGAGCATCAAAAAAAATATAACATACATATAAAACAGCCACTGAGTCAAAGGGATAAAACTAATTACTACAGATTTCTGCAATTTTATTCACACTAGATAAACAATACTTAGAACTTTTCTCTTAATAAATCCGTTTTGCTATTATTTTTAAACCTTACTTTTTGTGGCAGAACATAACTGTCTCAAGAACTATGTACTAGTAAATAAAAGTAGTAAAACTAAAGCTCTTGAAAATTATAAGTATATGGATAACTTTTTCCTTGGATTGCTTATCTCACAATTTATAATGAGCTATTGTTATTTTAGTCTAAACTTTCAATACATTTTATTTAGTAGTTAGGCTTTAAATGTGATTTTGAAAAGCCTCGTGTGTGTGAATTTTATAATCTTTAATCAGTTTTTCCATCAAGATGTGTGACTTTTTAGTTATATATTTTATCACATATTTGCTTCGTTTATAATTAGATAGAAATTTTTTTATAACTGGAAAATAAAAATAATTATTTAGCTGTGTCATTTTATCTCATTCTGTTAGTATGACAGCTTCCATTGCCAAAAACTTTAGACCTTAATTTAACTTTTTATCAGTTGCTAGTGGGAAGGTAATTTTAAAATGTTGCTATTTCTTGTCTACATAATTTTATTGAAGTAAATCTGGCTAGAATACATTTCCCTGCATATGAAGGTTTTTTTTTTTTTCTTTTCAAAATTTTTTAAATGCATTTCCTTTTTTAAGTACAATAAAAGCTACTATGTTTTAGTAGAGTTGTATGTATTTAAATGTTTTATAATATAGAAAAACATTCAGATTTTCAATTCTCATGTGTGTCATCAATCAAAAGATAATTTCGTAGAGAGCAATTCAGAAAAATCGTTATGAATCCCTACTTTAACCCTTTATCGGGCCCTTTATTTCTAGTAAAGGTAAATTAAAGTATTTTTGGAATTGTTTTAAGAACAGTAATTGATATAAAAAATAAAAAAACTCATTTAGTTTATAAACATGGTAACCAATTTTATTCAAACTGGAAACCTAAATTAAAAGTAAGTATACTTACCATGTCCTTCAAAAGGGTTAAAGCCTGCAAGAACATTAAACTTCAGGTATTTGACAGGGAGCTTTTTTATAGTTAAAAAATTAAATTCTTTTAAAGTATACCCTGAATATTTTGACACTTTCGCAAATAATTTGGTGTTCGAAAAGGCCCTATTTATTAAAACGAAATCATTTTTTTAAGGGATGGGGGGAAAAAACTGCTGGTTGATAGAAATATGATTTTCTAGATAGACTGTCTGAAGGTTAAATAACTCTACTCTAATGCTACCATATTAAGATTTACAGTAAACTTATTTATAAAAATAATAGTTTTAGAAAAAGTAGTTTATCCTTATAGCTTATTATTGGCTTAAATGTGATAGATTTTAGAGTTGTGCAAAGTTTTTATGCTGATTATTTAATAAATAGAAATGAAAATGTAGAAAAGCACGTAGAAAATAATCATCATTCGAAAATTATTGAGAGTGAGAAACCATATGTAGAAAAAGAATGCACAATGGCACTCACTGACGACGCATTCGGTTAGTAAGACGCATTGAGGCAGATTCCCTAACATTTGCTCTGTGCATCCTAACCTAAGCCTGCCTTAGAGTTATTTTTAAAAAATTTAATGGAAAAACCTATTATTAATAATAGTTATCTAAGAATATATTTTGTATTAAAATAATGTCTTTTTATTTTTTGTTTCGTTGACTCAGCTTCCCATTGAAACATGGAAAAGTAACAAAAACGCATCTTTCTTACAAATGATACGTAGTTCAGTAAAATTAAGACTTCTTTAAAGAAAATTAATCCGTAAGATTTTTTTTTCTTCATAAATATGTTTGTGCTATTACTGTAATTAATGCCTGAAAACTCCTTTACTCTCCTCTGTACGCTTCTACTTTTTATGAAAGAAATGGGTAATTTGATGGGGAGAATTGAATTTCTTCGAGACTTAGCAAGAGCAAGTGAGGTATATTTACAGAACCATATGCGGAAATAATGCATGTAAACTCCCTTACTCTACTCTATACGCTTCCCCCTTTCATGAAGGAAATGGGATGATTAGATAAGAAGAATGGAATTTCTTCTGGACTAGAAAGGCAAGTGAAGTATATTTACGGAACCATATGCGGAAATAATGCCTGTAAACTCCCTTACTCTACTCCTTTACGCTTCCCCCTTTTATAAAGGAAGTGGAAAAAACTGAAGTGAGATATAATATCAGGTGTAATTTTTACATTTGATTCAACGAGACTTTTCCCGTGACGATCGTACCAATAGCTTAGAAGCTGTAAGCATATTGAATAAAAAAAAGTATAATTTTGTACTTGCACTTATTTACGCATCTCACATTGCTATACAGGCAATTGAGTTATTGTTTCCTATGCGTTTTTTTCGCATTTATTCAAATGAATTCAAAAAGAATCAAAGGAGCTTGTATTTCAAAAGCTGAAATGGATTATTTTTTTTTGTATAAAAAGTTCTATTTTTGAATAGCATTAAGAAGAAAACCTTTATTATAACTTCAAAATTATTGCTCATATAAACTCGAATTTTACAGCGCCCTATTCAGTATTTAAAAAAAAAGTCATCGGAATAATACCTCTCAGGTTCAGATAGATAAAGTGAAAAGAGCGTTAAGTTATGTCAAAAGTAGAGTACTTTTTTTGCATAAAAACAATTTCAAATTTTGAACTATTCATTTTATTGGCTAGTGTACAGTCTCATTCGATTCAACGTAAAAACATATAAAAGAAACAATGTTTCACTTGTTTAGATAATAATATAAGTCGTGTAAATAGGTACAGTGAGCAAAAAAGAAACGAACCGCCTTGAATAACTTTTAATCAAATGATCGGATCTTCACGCTTTTGGACTCAAATTTAAAGATTCAAGGAGATCACCTCAAAGATGTCAATTAATTAGTGCAAACAATATTTTAAATTACGAAATCTGACGCAAAAACGTACTTCTCTGAATAAATATGCATTTCCCCCCCAACGGATTCGGATTTTTGATCCTCAAAATTTTGGGGGTAGCCGCAATCGGGAAAATATAGTTACAATAGTTTGATCAGGAGAGCGGCCCGAAGTTTGAACCCCTTTATGTTAATTCTACTTCTTGCGTATTTCACCATATCTCGAGAACCTTTTAAGCGAATAGAAAAAAAAATTGAGTAAAATTATAGAAATTGTTTAATTTAGAATAATTGCTTGCTAAATATAACTTTTAGTAAATATTTATTATTTTCAAATGTTTTTTTCATTAACAGTCAAAACAATTTTGGACCTTAAGGGTTTACAACTTTTTGCATCATTTTTAAGAATGCAATTTTAAATGGCAAAATAGAAAATTTTACCGAAAATGGTTGAATGATTTTTGAGAAATGAAATTTTAAAAGTATGACTTTCTTGAAATTCAGTTTCTCAGGAACAATTCGACCGATTTCGTTAAAATTTTGATTTCCAAGCTTCAGATCAGTTAGGGTGCATGGTGCAGAGGCCAAATTATTACTGCCACCATCAGCCCTTCAATCTGAGGATTACGTTGATTGTGAGTATGTTCAGGGCAGTTGCAGGCAGTGTGAGTCATTTAGTAGGAATGGATCCTCGCGTCCATATTTCTCTTTCATACAACGCTAAGACACGGTTCCCAGCAGATCTCCGAAGTCAAGCATCACTGGCTACGTTCAGTGTGCGGGTGGGTGACCACTTGGATCAGTCTGTGGAGGGACCGAGGACGTGCGGTATTGGTCCTCGTTAAACTGATATATCGTAAAGTCCTCGACTTCGCTTGCAGGTCATCGGGATACCGAAGCGGGGGTGCCACCCCTCTGCAGAGGATCAAAATTGTGATGGCATGTCTTCAGATCATCCTCAAGGGTGTTTCTCAGACCGTCGCCAATAGCCCATCGTGCAGCTCTAGTGCGGCGTAAATTATCCACAACAATAACAACTTTCATACAACGCAATTTTTTTTAACTGCCTTGTACTATCAACCGATTTTCCATTGTCTTAAATGTGTTGTTGTTGTTAATTTACGTCGCACTATAGCTGCACAATGGGCTATTGGCGACGGTCTGGGAAACATCCATGAGGATGATGCGAAGACATGCCATTACAATTTTGATCTTCTGCAGAGGGAATGAAGCCCCCGCTTCGGTAGCTCGACGACCAGCACGCGAAGGCAAGCACTTTACTGTAGAACAGTTCAACGAGGACCAATACCGCACACCCTCGGTCCCTACGCAGACTGATCCAAGTGGTCACCCACCCGCACACTGACCGCAGCCAGTGATGCTTGACTTCGGTGATCCTTCTGGGAACTGTGTCTTAACGATCAATCCACTGCGGGACTTAAATGTGTGAAATTATAGGGGACAATTTGTGCTGCATGCAATTTTATCGTAGGCAAATGATAACTAGATTGTCGGAAAATGAAAAACTCCCTAATTGGGTTCTCTTTTCCATGCGAAAAAGTTCCATTCAGTGAGAAAAATCTTTTAAAAAATGTTTTGTTTAAATTTGCTCAGTTTTAAAATTTGTCATTTTTAATAAATTATTTTCTGGTTAGTTGCAGAGTAAAGAGTTGACAGAAATAGTTAATCAGAAATGTTTTTGAATAAAAAAGTGTAAATAAAGCAAAACCGCATGGATGTGAAGTTTCAAAAATCAGAATAAAACTTTTTCCTGAATTTACTAAAAACTATCACGAATTGAAAGTTAAAGAACCTGTGCTGATCCTTGAATTTGTGAACTTTCGATTTATGACAAGAGAGTGAAAATTATGGATTCTAATTTTAATGAGCCCTCCAACTTTATGTTAAATCTAACGTCTGGCCCTCCTAAAAAGCGAAAGAAAAAGATTGATCAACAATATTCTAAAGTAAAATATTTTAATCTCTTCCAAGTAGTACATTTTAATTTCCCACTTTGATAAACAAATCGGAGTCTTTTGTTTTTGTGACACTTTTAAATCTCTTGATTTTAATGGAATGATTTCAGAGTATATTTATGTTTATTTATTTATTATTATTTTTAATGAGATTTCCATCATAATTTCTTACATGTGCAGTTTTCTCAGGGTACATAGCGTTTTTAAAAAGTGGTTGAACTGGCTTATTTTCAAATTTCGTTTTTTAAAAGTCCTTAAAGGTGCTTTTTTCATTGTTTTTTTTTACGAAGTGCTTAATTTTCCTATTTCCAAATTGAGATTTTTCTTTTAACATGTTGATTTGCGCTACAAATTATGCAAAATCGTACTTTTTACATTGTTCTATTCAACGTTATCACAATTAATTTAACCCCAATCTATTTCAGCGTATTGTCAGTCCGTAGCGTATGAAAGCAACATTCGTTTACATGATTCAAAATTTCATGATTTTTGACAATTGCCAAAAACAATACCAAAAGGTTTTTTTTAATTTTCATATGACGGTTAAAACAAGATAAAACCGTCAATTGTCAAAAAATTTCCAACCCTGCCTAGTTATGATATTCTTTTAAAGTGCTTAAAAATATTATTAGAGTACTTGAAAAATGCTTAAAAGGTGCTTATTTTGTGTTAAATAATTTGGCTATGCACCCTGTTTCTGTATTCAATCAATATTAGCATTATGGTTTGTGCTTGTTAAAATTAAACTGTAAAGAGGTAGAAAGTGTTATTTAAAACCATTCAAATTTTCAACTTTATTAAACTTAGCTTTAGAGATTATAATAATATTATATTAACAATGAAATTGAAATTTTAAAAACTGTGGAAATGCATTGAAAATGCGAATACTGTCAAAAATGTGGTCGACATAATCACGCGGACAATAAGTTTGTCACAAATCGAGTGCAGCAAAAATTAATTCTGCAATTTTCGATTCAAAATTTCCCCATGTATGATAACGTAGTATTTAAAAACTATCAAAATTTGTAGCAATAACTGATAAAAAAGCGATTGTAAATACCGTGGAATTGTGGGTAAATTGTAAATAAATTAGTGCAAAATATAAATTCGAAGTTTGCCGAATGGAATAATATCATAATAACATTGAGATTTCAAAAAACAAGTGAAAATCCATTTTAATAACTTCCAAGAAAATGTTTATTTTAACTATACAGATTCACTGTGGAATCATTGTTAATTGAGTGGATTAAGAAGTGCGATAGTATGTTATAATGGCATATTAAATATCGAGATTTTTAAAACAATATAAAAATCTGTATTAAAGTTGCGCAACCATTCAAGAAGACGCAAGCATTTACTTTGATTAAAATTGACCTTAATTATGGTCCATTTTTTATTGAGGCAGGATGTTTTGATGTTTGTTTACCTTGAAGACCTATTATTCGGAAAAGTCTTTTTTCCGGACATATTGAAGTCCTGATGATTTTAGATATGGGAATTTCCCCTATAATAATTGTAGAAATCAATATAGATATAGTGTACTTGCAAAGTTTAACTTTGAAATTATTGTTTCAAAGTCCGGTTTAAGAAATCAGCTGCTTTTTAATATCAAATATTCCCAGAACTGACATGGTTCTAATAGGCGATGAGCAATGTAATGTAATTGGTTTATAATTTACGTCTTGGTTTCTCTTCTAGCAAAGTCTTGTGAAATAAATTTGTTACTCACATAGGTATGAGACAACTTATAGCCTGTGCCATAAATTTGTTAGCAGTGTTTCCCAAAGTGTGGTACGTGTACCCACAGGGGTACTGGAACAGTGTAGTGGGGGTACGTGTTTTTATGCGAAATATCTTGCAACAGACAAAATTTTTAAAAAAAATTAATTTAAAAATAAAGCTTCCTATGAAAATTTACGATTACATATTTTTCTATTGGCTATTTTTTGCACAGTTAACAGTTAATAATTAGTGGTATCAACAGCCAGTTATGATTTTTAACTTATGTGCAATTTTTTTATAGTAAAAAATACAGTACAGAACCTGTTATCCGGAAATCAGAAAACTGGAAATCCAAAAAACCGGAGCGAAATTCAATAAATTTTCCCGCCATTTTTTTAAAAAATTTTTTTTTTCCTCATAAGATTTCAGGATTTTTTTTTCATTTTTTGAAAGATGTTCACCTTACCATCATTTTGGAAATAATCATTAGTGTATTACTTCATCGTTTTTTCTTCTTNGTCCTGGAAAGTCCTTGAATTTCAATCTCATCATAGAGTGGGAACTCTGGGAATGAAATTCAATAAATTTTCCCGCCATTTTTAAAATTTATTATTTTTTCTCTTAAGATTTCAGGATTTTTTTTTTCTTTTTTGAAAGATGTTCACCTTACCATCATTTTGGAAATAATCATTAGTGTATTACTTCATCGTTTTTTCTTCTTTTTAAGATAATTTCCAAATATATATATTTTTTTAGTTGGGTTTAAAAATAAAAAAACTACTTTTTGTAGCGATTCAGAAAACCGGAAAAATCAGTTACCCGGAATAGCGATGGTCCTGATCGTTCCGGATAATCGGTTCCCTATTGTACATAAGTTTTTTATAAGTGGTACACAGCGTAACGAAAAATTTAGAAAGGATACACAAAAGTCATAAGTTTGGGGAACACTGAGATAAAGGATATAAATATTGCAATGATTTTATAATCTTGCACTGTGTAGAGCCTTTTAAATATTTCAGTTTAAATGCAAATATTTTCCTCTGACTTGGTATCTAAGAAGAAGGTTCAAGTGGTTCGATTGTGTAATGAGTTCTGTTTCCTGTTTATGAGGAAAAATTCAAATTCTTCCATGGATATTAGTTCGGATTTTAAAGCAGTTTCCAGATTACTGGAGATACTTAACTTTGTAACTATGAAGTGTTACCTATATATTTCTGCTTTTATTTCTTAAAACTGTTCCAACTTAACCATACTTTAGCGATAAAAAAATACCATTATTATAATAATAAATTGACTTAATAAGAATAAAGTTATTTACAAATTTATCCCATCATCTTAAAATTGTAAAACATAGGGTAAAATTATTTTAAACTGGCAATTTAATGTTAGGCTATTGAGCTCATGTCTTCTCTAGCCTTACATCTATTAAATTACTTTAAAGAAACTTATAAGAATATAATGAAAATTTTTTATAAGCATAATTAATATCATTTTAAAGCTTTTTGCATTTAAAATTTCTTTAATTAAGTGGGGGAGGCATCCCCTCTACAGAGGATCAAAATTGTGATGATGTGTCCTCAGATTATCCTCAGGGATGATTCCCAGACCGACGCCAGTTGTACAGTTCCGTTGCAACATAGTTAAAGTACTGCTACTATTTCTTAATTAAATATTTTTTAAGCATAATTGTATATTATTTTATAGTTATCTATAATTAAAATTTCTTTAAAAAAATTTGATTTCTCAGTTTCTTTTTGTATTATCTTTAGGATGTTCCTCTTCCTCAGTCATCCAATATCCAACAATTGTTTCCTAAGAAAAACACAGAAATGTCACCTCAACCTCCTAAGAAAAATTTTCAAACCTTCAAACAGAAAACAGTTCATCCTGAAAAAGGATCAGATTCAACAAATGTTAAACAAAGAGCAGTTCCTCATGGAAAGGCATTTTCATCTTTATTTAAGAGTAATCCAGAAGTACATCCTTTAGTTGTGTGTGTAAATTTTATTTTAAGTTATTGTTTGATCATAATTTTTAGTGCTATCTGTTATTATTTTAGTTACCAACTCTACTGAATATTTCCAATTTCTCCATGTTTGTTCTAAAATTCTTTCAGTTTTTGAGCATTTTCAGGGGTATATCCAGGCCAAATTTACTACCGATTAGCAGTACCTTCACAAATTCAACTTTAGGAAAAACGGTAGTTTCACAAAATACTTCATCTTAAAATTTTATTTTTGTATCCAATAAAAAGCGATAACTCCGTATTTTTACCATATTTTTTGTTATAATTTTTCATTTTCTCAAATTATGTCTAAATTTTTACAAAGTAGGTACCCCTCAGAAAAAGCTAGACTTACCCCTGATTTTAGAAAATTGATAATGACTAAAAAATTTAATTATTTTTTTATGTAGTCTCAACTTTGATTAAGTTGTCTAGTTTGCTAATATAAATTTCTCTCCATTTTTTTTTTAAATAGCACTGAGACACTGTGGAGTGTAAAAAGTACAGCAAATTTTTTTCTACAGTGTGTAAAATGAGTTTTTTTGTATTTTAAAATTTACTTAAGATAAATTGCTATATTTAAGTGAAATAAAGAAAAACTTCTTTTAAATGTTTCCAGAACTACCTTTTAAGCNACAGAGTAGTTAGTGTCGAGTATTCTTTTTAATGTGCAATTTATCTTTCACATATTAATATTTGCCTGCATTTTAGTATTAGTTTTCTTCTTAGTTAATTGTTACCTACATTTTTTAATTGCTTGCATAAAGATAGGAAATATTTTTGTTGTTATGCTGGGTTGGGGGAACAAAAACAAAAATTGTAAGGGAGATAGGATATATAAAAAGATGCAAAACAACCCATGATTGGAAATGTCCGAAGAAGTTGGTCAAGGAGGTAGAAGATCTGAAAGAACAAGTGAGTAATTAATTGTTAACCTTTATTGGACATTGTGAGTACAAATGGCATACTATATTTATCTCAACGTCTCCATTTTAATGACTGTTACAATGAGCCGATTACTTATTTGTTTTGTCAATATTTTTTACATTTTTTTTGTGTTTCTTTTCTTGGAGAAAGAGCTTCATTTTAAGCTTCGTCTCCATTTTAATGATTGTTACAATGAGCCAATTACTTATTTGTTTCTTCAATATTTTTTATTTTTATGTTTTTTCGTGTTTATTTTTCTTGGAGAAAGAGCTTCAAAAAACTGAGTTAAACATAATTTTTGTATTTTAAAAACAGCTGAGCGAAAAAAAAACAACAGAAATATGAACTCTAATCAAACAGCACATTTTTATCTAAATCTTGTAAAATATTTGTTCAATAAAAAGGTAAAGTTATATGATTTTTTTTTTTAAATATAAAAAGAATTTTTTTTTTTGATTATCAGTTTGTTTTAAAGATTAACCCATTTTTGACCAAAGGTGCACAAACGCACCGCTTCAATAAATATTTTTTTATTAACACTGGCGGATATTTTTCACTAATATATCACAATGATAACATACCATATGTGCGGAAAATAATTTAAATACCGTATATTTTGGTTTTTATTACCTGAATTAATGGTTTTGCTAAGTCTGGCAAGATATAAATATTTGAAATAGAGTTTCACTAACGGTGCTCCATTAGCAGCTTTGCGGGGGTGATACCAACCTAACATTAACTGCCAGCTACTGAAGCACACACTTGTTTCTCTTATTGTAGCAACATACCAGGTCAGCCTTGCCTCAAGATCAATTACAGATTCCACTGATTCATAATATGCAGTAGGACAATAGTTTTGAAAGCTCTCGGCAAAGAGAAATGTAGTGAGCTTGAAGGGCGCTTAACAGAAACGACATCATACAGCCGGGTGCACAGTTGCGTTTCATTGGTGCATAAGAAGTCATGCGTTTGGTGTTGTACTATGATATTTCTAGTCATAGGTTGTTATGCATTTCTCATTCTTTATTATATGTATCCTACTTCCCCTCATGGGTTAGAATCCATGTCAAGCTAACCTTGGGAGGGTTTCACGATATTTATCTCCAAGCAAACGCAAATGCGGGTTAATTCCACCCAAAAGCCCTCCACGAAGGCAAATTTCTCCCAATACTTGATCCAGGAGTTCTCTTGCAATCTGGACTGAGTACAAAATTAAAAGTGTTGAATTTGTTGTATGCTCAATACTGGTTATAAAATGTGAAATAAAATTTTTTTAAGGCACACCACATAACCAGTCTTTACAGATTGGTTCTTATGCACCAATGGTAATAAAATAATATTCTTATAAAAGGTAATAAAATAATGTATATTTTTTCTTTACCTCTTGTAGAAGAAAACAGAGTTCATTGTCTGAGCCATTATTTTCTGCTAAGACTTTTGAAGAAATGAATCTTCATCCACATCTGGTAAGCAAAATTTATTGTATCAAAATGGATAATTTTAAACCATTTTATTTTTTATGCCTTGTTTTTTTAAACTCTTCTACTATGAGATATAATCAAAATCTGAATATAATTAGTGATTTTCTTGTCTATTCCAATTGACATATAATATTTGAATAGATTTTATGAGAATTATATTTTAATGTCCACATAGCAGTCATTTTTAAACTTATTTTAATCGAGATTAATTATTTTATTCTAAACCAATAAAATATGATGACTTAAGAACTTAGAAAACATTTTTACATAAATTACCTTCAAAGCGATAGATTTTGACATAAGTAGTTATTATAGAGATACCATCATTATTTCATATAAAGTAAATTATATACTAAATATAAGTAATGCAGTATCAATATAAGTAATGCAGAATTATTTGTTGCTGATATTCTGTTTTACATATTTTAGTTGTTAAAATCAGTTAAACTTGAATTCATTACTCTGTGTTTTTAATAAACTTCCATTATTGTTTTTAAAATGCCTGTGTCAGATGTTTATTTTATATGATTCCAAACGTTGAGCAAGTAAAAGGGTTAACCATTTTTTTAAAAATATATACTATAGATTTCATTTTATTGAACTCAAAAATCTAAATGCACAAATTAAAAAAATATTGTTATTTTAAATTATTTTTATTTGATGTATATTTTTGTCCTTTTTTTTTATATAGACACCAAAAGAAAAATATTCTTTATGTTAAAACATGTAATTATTCTATGTTTTAAATATGTGTTTAAAACCAGTGTTTTAAATGTAACAAACCTTATTGAACCTCATTTTCAACTGTAACAATAATGTTAAGTGCAAAAGTAAAATATTATAATTTTTAATAAAAGGTTATTGCCTTAAAGAAAAAAGAAGAAAGAAGGCATTGCTAATGTAAAGTACCTCTACAAAATTTCATTCGAATTTGTGTCTTTTATTTTTAGATTTCTTGNCAGTCTTGCGTAAAAAAAATTTTTTTTTTAGTTTGATTTAACAATAAAAAAACGGCTTTTTGTAGCGATTCAGAAAACCGGAAAAATCAGTTATCCGGAATAGCGATGGTCCCGATCGTTCCGGATAATCGGTTCCCTACTGTATATACTATAGATTTCATTTTATTGAACTCAAAAATCTAAATGCCCAAATTAAAAAAATGATATTGTTATTTTAAATTATTTTTATTTGATGCATATTTTTGTCCTTTTTTTTTATATAGACACCAAAAGAAAAATATTCTTTATGTTAAAACATGTAATTATTCTATGTTTTAAATAGGTGTTTAAAACCAGTGTTTTAAATGTAACAAACCTTATTGAACCTCATTTTTAAGTGTAACAATAATGTTAAGTGCAAAAGTAAAATCTTGTCTGACTTTGATTAAAATATTATAATTTTTAATAAAAGGTTATTGCCTTAAAGAAAAAAGAAGAAAGAAGGCATTGTTAATGTAAAGTACCTCTACAAAATTTCATTGGAATTTGTGTCTTTTATTTTTAGATTTCTTGTTTGAAGAGTAGAATGGATATTGTTAGAATGACAAAAGTGCAAGAAAACACAATTCCAGTTTTATTAGAAGGGGATGATGCTCTTGTAAAATCATGTACTGGATCTGGTATGAAACAAAACATTGTATTTTATTTTTTAAAAAAAAATCGTCAATTTAGATGGGAAATTTAAATGTTTTGAGATTTGAAGTTCTGTTAAAAATTTGTTTCTAGGCTAATTTTCACATTCAACAACAATTTTCCATTACCTTTATTCAGCACTTGGAAAATTAAAATTTTACTTAGCCAATGTGAGTAGTCCAGATATCTGCTAGTATTCAGATATTTGAGTAACTGAATTAAAAAAAAGAAGAAAATAAAACTAAGTTAAATGCTTAATTTACCACTTTTTTAAAATTTTTTTTATAAAAGCACAGTTTTTCGATATTCAGTATTTTATTTTTTTCAATTTTATAAAGGAAAATATTAATTACCAAATGTTATCCCACACTAGTTTAGTATTGAGCATATTGTTAAGCACATTGTGAGTTTTCAACTATCATATTCTCCTTTTTGTTCCTTTATCATGCAAACAATTTAGTACTGATCTATTTTTTTGTACTGTATTATTTTGAAAACAGTTTTGTACTATATTACCTTCGAAACAGTGTTATTCTGCTCACATATTTTTTTCCCCACTGTGATATTCAGTTACAGCTTGCTGCATTAGTAATAAGACAAAGTTCGTGTTATGGTCATTTTTGTTTTATCAAATATTTTTAAAATTCTCTAATAAATTTAATAACCCATAAATGTAAAATTCACAGTTTAGTGTAATGCTCATCGAAAATTATTCTTTTAACTGACTTATTAATTTTTATTTTAGGTAAAACATTGGCATATGCCATTCCAATAATTCAAAAGTTCCAAGAAATGGAACCCAAAATAAAGCGCTCTGATGGTGTACATGCTTTGGTTATAACACCTACTCGAGAGGTAATACAATTGTGACAAATTAAAAAAAAAAAAATTATGTATATCTTGTTGTTGTAAGGCCTTCTAAATTTTTTTTCTTCTTTTTAGCTTGCAATTCAGTCTTATGAAACTTTTTCCACCTTAACAAAAGTAAGTTTTTTTTTAATTTTTTCTTTAAGTTTGTTCTTGTTTGTTTTATAATATTATTATAATAAAATTTTAATTTGCCTTTTCAGTTTATTTGTGATATTGTTTTTGAACAAAATATTGTTGGGTTTATAATTGTCCTTATTTGCCGTGATTTTTTTAATTTTTTTTATCCTGATTTTTGTGTGTGTCCAAGTCTTTGTAATCATTTTTACACTGTTTAAAATAGATTTTAGAGACCAAGATTTACTTTTAACTCTGTCGATAAAGTAAGTTTGGGTTTTACTGCTGATAAGTTTCTGAAACAACTATTGTTTAAAACAAAAAGCCATCAGTAATGAAGATGCATTACTGTTAAAGTTTATTTGCCAATAGTTAGTGATAAACCATTGTTTATTATTAGTTTGAATAAAATTTGCTTTTATTATTCTTAAGTAGAGCAAATTATACTCTCTTTTTTTTCTCAATTTTTTGAAAAGTGTTGTTTCTAATGCCACTTTCCAACCACCAAGCCTGCTTGGTAAAACCAATCGAGTTTTAGGAGGAAGGTGTGTTTCCTGTTTTTCAGTGGCGTCATCAATGGCCAAGAATATGAATTTAGACACACACGTCACAGCCCGTTTTTTAAAAAGTAGACAGGTATATGCATACTGCTCCAACAAATTTCCTGTTTTTTCTTTTGCCTCCTACGATGTCTGATAGCATAGTGACAACATCTTGCATGCTTAAAATACAATTATTATAATTCTTAGTCTTGTAATAGGGCATTCATTGTAGTTCGTAGTAAATTTTATGCTCTAGATTTTCTTTGGATTTAGCCAAATCGTTTTTTCCCTCTCATTTTCCTTCATACTATTAGATAATGATAAATTATCTTTTTTTAATGATTAATTTTTGTGTAATTTCACTAATTCTATTCTAACATCAATATTAAATTGCAATTTAAGTACACTGCCGAGTAATAGAAAGATCAGCATAAGCGACAAAAAATTCAAAATTGAGATATTTATATATTTGCCATTTGTAAAAATCTTTTTTTTTTCTGAAATAAATTTTGTTTTATCAGTTTCTTAAAATTCTATTTTAATCTTCATAGCATTAGCAATAGAAAGAAAATAGTTATCAAGTAACTTTTCTTGAAATCTCATCTTGATGCATATGCATTGTTGTCTTTGAGCTGTCAAGCATTGAAAAATGATTTTTTATTAGTTCTAATTATTTTTTTTCCATTGTTGATTTGTTATTTAATAATATTTATTTGACATTGTCAACATTCCAGGCATTTACTTGGATTGTACCTGGGTACTTAATTGGCGGTGAGAAAAAGAAATCTGAAAAAGCAAGGTAGTCTATATATTTTTTATTGAATATTGTTAAATATTGATATGTTATAAAAAATGCTTGGTGTCATGCTTTTAATCTAAAAACTTATTCACTGACTGGTATACATGCATTTAACTGTTAGTTTTGTAGTAAAGTAAAAATCTAATGTAGGGTGTACTTGCTATGTACAAATTTTTGAACCAAAAGAAAAAGGTAAAAATTATAAATAAAAATGTGTGGTTTGTAATTTTTGATAGGTATAATTATATTCATTTGCCTGTTTTTAGATTTGTTGATTTTCACAATTCAATGATTTATATTTCAACCAAATTTTCTTGAATGCTGGTCTAAAATTGAAATTTTGATGTTTATGCGAAATCTCATTAACAAGATTTCACCTTTACCAGTACCCTCTTATTTTTGCTTCCTAAGTTCTCCTTCATGTACAATAATAATTTGTTAGAGAAAAACCAAACTTTAGATTAACTTTGAGAAAAAAATAATCTATTAATTTAAGTAAATACTTTTTGACATGCTTAATTTGCTCTAAATACATGCAGCCTTTTGATCGCTTTTCTTTTTCTTAAAGTTATTCTGTTGATTTTCACATAATTTTAAAATCCCAATATCATTATGATACAAAAAATTAAAACCTGAATATTCTCATTTGTGGCGATAATATTATTATTTTTTAAATAAATTTTCTTGTAGCTAATTTTTGTATATTTTTAAAGTGTGATATTTTTAATTGGATATTATTTATTATAACTCTTGACTCTCAAAACGTACATTTAGTTAATTTATTGAGACATCCGATTCCCATGATTTCGCTGTAAATACCTGTGATTTTGTCATCAATCTTTTTTCAGTTTTTACCGTAAATCTCACAATTTTTGAAAATCCTTTTTTTCCCTCTTTTTTTTTAATGTGATGACCACTACTCAAGTACGAAAAAAGAGGAGTAATGAGTTTTTTCAATGTATTTACTCTATTATATATTGATAAGAAAAAAATTTATTAGGAAAAAAAAATTTTCTCTCTTTGATTTTATAAATTTTACTTTTGTGCATAAAAATGACAGTGTTTTGCATAACTTTTATGTACAGAAAAAAACTATTTATTGAGAAAAAATATCAGATAATTTCTTCTTTCAACAATCATACTTATGGTTTAATTTTGTCAGAACTTTTAGGTAATGAATAATTTTTAAATTTTAAAAATGAATTAATCCATCACTCATAATTTTAAATCTTCTTTTGTAAATCATCTTATTTGGGCGTAAGAGTTACAGTTGAACCTCATTAACGCGAAATCGGCGGGACTATCATAATTATTTCATGTTAACATAATTTTGTTTTATCGGATACATCATGAAAATAATTTATTACGTATTTTTAATACAAACTGTATTCCATTGATGTATGCAAATAATACTATTATGAAACAAACAAAATAAGTTTAAAAATTTTAACTACTTTATTAAGCTATTTTATTTTTACTATTTTATTTATTTGCCCATATGCTACTCTAACAAAGGAAGAAAATTGAAATAGCATTCCTCAAAAAGTGAATGATTGGGATTTTATTCACATGCTTTTTATCTCTGATGTACCCAGTTTCATTTCATGTTAAACGATAATAAGCTTGAAAATTTCATGTTAAGCATGTAAAATGCAACAATAATTGATTTCTGACTCACGGGACCAAACATGTGCTTCATGTAAAGCGATATTTCACGTTAAGCGTTTTCGCTGTAAATGAGGTTTGACTGTAATTGGCTTTATGAATGAGAAATAATACTTGTTAAAACGCTGAACATGTTATGGAGTTCTAATATTTAATTCAGGCTTTATATTCATTTATAATTATTTTTTTGTTTAAATTCATAATGCTTGATTATATATTTTTGTTCTTTAAGATTGAGGAAAGGTATTAATATTCTTATATGCACGCCTGGACGTCTTCTAGACCATTTAGATAAAACTTCATGTTTATCATTAGAAAAAATATCTTGGCTTGTTATAGATGAAGCTGATAAGTAAGATTTTTTAAATAATATACCAATTGATTGCTCTTTGCATGTTTTCTATTAAGAATATATTTTCATTTTTAAGTTCTTTAAGTGTGTCCAGCTTTGTGTTTATAATTGTTTTTGGTTTTTCTTTTTTAAATATTCCACTAGTTCTAGTTATTTGATTACAAGATAATTATGAAATAAGTTCAAGTTTTAAAGCATTACTATTGGCTTACATTAAGCATTAAAATATTGGCTTACAATTAATATGATTTTGACATTATTTATTATGAATTAGTTTCTAGTGAATTGTGTCATACTTGAGTTACGTAGAACTGAGTATTTTCTATGACCAACAAATAACAGTTGGAGGTAGTTATTTTGGTTAGGTTCTTCTAAAGAAATCTGATAGTTAAAACTTTTCTTTTTTGCCATCATGCATATATACTTTTTCATCGTCTACTGTCATATTTACTGTCGTCGTCTTTGCCTCTGAAGTAGCTGTTTTGCTTTTTGTAATAAAATTTCATAACTATAACATTTTTTTTATGCATCAGCATTGTTTAGTTTGATTATTAAAAGTAATTATCTTAACTTATCATAATTATATTAATAACAGATATCTTGTTTATTGATGTAGTGTATTGGAATAAATAATGAACCTTCATTAAAAAAAAATTTCTGCCATTATTAATATTTTTATATACCTCCTATAATCTAACTTTTGCATCTACATGTTAGCTTAAGTTTTTTGCTCACATACATATTGGATCAAATACTGAAATGGCAACAGAACATAGAACTGCAACAAAGCATAGGATCATTAACAAACAAATATTTTGGAACAAAATAATATTTAAGTAGCACAAATACATTAATATTTATTAGCACTGTTTCAAAAATTGATTTGGTGTAACATTATTCCAAAAATTAATTGTGTATATAATTAAACAAATAAATTGAACAAAAAAGAATTGTGAATAGGAAAAATTACAAATCCATTTTAGAAAGAGACAATTTCTTATGGATTTATTTATCAACAAAATTGGTTTTTAAATCTCTGAAATTCTGTCCCACAAAATGGCACTCCCTTTGCCTGCAAAAATACTTAGTAATACTTAGGAACTCTTTGCATTCTAAAAAACTATTTGCAATTTCTAAATTGATAGTAATAAGTTTGTTTGGTTAGTATTGATTTAAGTTTGAACCAATTTTTTATTGTACAAATTATTAATTAAAAAAATATTTTGTCCTAATATATTCTCTGGTGTGTTATTTTAGAATAGTGATTGATTACAATTTTGTTTCTTTTAATTTATCCACTTTAAATAAACTAATAATAGTAGTTCTTTTGGAACTTACGTCTCTTTTTACATAATTTTTGTTACTTTGCAACTGATTATTTTTTTCTATGTGAAAATGTCATAACAAAAATATTTAATTGCTACAATTTGTGTCATTATGCATGCTACTCATGCCGAAAACTCTAACAGTTTTTCAGATAAAACATTTGTTTACTGAAAGCATATTTATTACTTTATTTAATTTGTTAGATTATTAGAAGAAGGCTTTAAAGACTCAGTGAGAAGAATATTGTCAAAATGTAATAAAGAACGAAATTCTGTGTTACTGTCTGCCACTTTAACGAAAGGTATTGTATACTTAATTTTCCTCCCTCAAATTATTTTATGTGCTGAGCTGCTTTTAAACATTCAGTTACACTTTGTATCATTTTGTCTAGTTTTTGATTATTTTCTTTTTTTTTTATATAGAAGTTGAAAATTTGGCTGATATGAGTCTTTCGGATCCAAAGCGCATTGATGTTGCTTCTGGAATGAATCCTACTCATTTTGAAGACTTTGCAATCCCATCAAATTTGAAACAATTCCTTGTTGTAGTACCATCAAAGTTACGTTTAGCATCATTATCTGGTTTTATCATTGACAACTGCATGAAGAGCAGTATGAAAGCTCTTATTTTCATGTCTTCTCAAAACACTGTTGATTTTCATTATAATCTCTTTACTGGTGTTCTTGCACCTTTGTTATTGAACAAAGGACATAAATGTAAATTTTTTAGGCTTCAGGGAAGCATGAAACAAGAGGTATTTTTTTATATATCTTTTTATTATGTTGCTCTTTCAATTATGTGCTTTTATTTTATACTTTTCAACAATGAGAGTAGATATATTATTCAGAAATAGATTAATTTTATTTTACTGTATAAAATGAAACAGTAAAATTTTACCGTATAAAATGTATTTACATTAAATTTATTATAAATACAACTGCATATATGCATTATATTTCTCTTCTGGTTTTCTTTTTTTTTTTTAAATTAATAATAAATTATTAATAATGTTGGCAACTAATTAAAAATGAAAAGATTATTGGTAAAAATTATTAGTATATGTAAATTATTAGTATATTATTAGTATATTTTGCTGTTATAAATTAATTTTCTTATTTTTTCTTATTTTTTTTTTACTTAGAGAATTGAAATTTTAAAAACTTGCAACAGCTACAAATATATGTTTTATATTTAAATTTATGGCTTTTTCATAAAAATGAAATTAATACTTTATTTTTTATTCTAAATTTGTCACACTACACTTGTTTACTTTTCCATAGCTTTAGCCACAATATTCTTTTATTGCAAATTGCAGAATTTTTTTGCATATGAAATTTCTTTTTCATTTTTATTTAATTAATAAATTGAGTTTGAATGAAATTTTTCATTTTTATTTAATTAATAAATTGAGCTATTCTTTCTTTTAATATCTAAAAGAAAGTAACCCCAATTTTATTAGGAATATATCTAGTTTAAATTACTTGCATATAAAAGCTAACTTAAATATGTTGCTTGTATGATTTAATGTGTTACAAAAATGCTCATATCTTTACAGGAAAGGACAGAGATATTCAATATATTCAAGAAAGAAAAGGAAGGTGTTTTACTTTGCACGGTAATGAAATATATTTTCTCCAGTTATTTAAATACTTTAGCCCTTTATTAACCACCAATTACTTTTTATATTGTAAGCGTAAACTTTTATTTATTGTGATTTTTTTTACAAAGTTGCTGAAGTTTAAACTATTTATTTGATGAGTGATCAAATTGATTTTTTCCAAAATCACTTTTTTCTTTTTTAGAATAATTTGTTTCGATTGTTATCTTTTACTTTTCTGCAGCAGTATGACATTAATTACAACACTTGTTGGTGTAATTGCTCACAATTGAAGATTTTAGTGAAAATGCTTTTAAATGACATCATGGGAAAACAAATTTGAAGAAATTTTTTATTTTAATTTAGTTTTATTGTACTACATTGATTTATTTGGTCATGTCATCAAACTTTGGATGAAAGTTCTAAATAGGTATCATGTGTTTTTGGAGTGGAAGCAGATTTCAAGTGCATTTAGCAACAAGTTGAAAAATAATAATTAAAAGCTTCTATTTTGGGTCCCCTCTTGGCATTTTATGTTGTAAACATTTTAAATGAGTTTTCAGGATTAATAAAATTCTCTTAATGGGAAGCTTAAAATTAAGAAATAAAATAAAAATAATCTTCATTTCTTATTTTCAGAATACATTTCTTACTTCAAAGGTACTTTACTCAAATTCACTGAAGTGTCATTTAAAACCACTTTGGTCTTCAAAAAAGTGAATTCTTAGAAATTTCTTGTAATTTTTTTAAATTTTATTTGAAAAAGTTATTTATCAGGATGCAAGATAGAAAGATCATATGTCTGTACTAAATTTTTAAAATAAAATGGTTTGCCAATATTAAAATTAGTTTAGAAAACTGATACAAAGCATCTTATTTATTCTCTATAAATTTTTTTAGTCAGCTATGCTTTGTAGAATTAAACTAAAGCCATATGAAATAGGGAAATATAAAACTCTTATTGAAACTTGAACAGTGTTTAGAAAGAGTTATTAACAAAGTGATTGTTAAATTAAAAAAATGTTTTTTTTTTTTTTTTTTTTTTGAAATTGAATTCTAGTTTAATGCAATTATTGCATTTAATTCTATTACAATTTCAAGGTTATCATCTGAATTTTTTTTTTTCAGTCAGGATTTTGCAGCTGGAAGTAGAGGTATAGAGCTTGTTAATCCACTGAGTATTTGATTTAAACTTCATTTTATTGGTAGTTTTATCAGAACGTTGAACATATTGGTAGTCTTTTAACAATTGTAGTAAAGATTTATGCTACAGTCATTAAAAATGAAAATTAATTCTAGTCTGATGATAATGTTGCGTTTTTAAAAGCTCATGAACAAATTAATAAAATCTAGTTTTATTATTTTATTTTAAGAATATATTAACTATGTTCATAAAAACTAGCCAGTTAAAATTTAAATTATAGATAATAATTTATAAAATTCAAGCATGAATTTCATCTCTTAAAATTTTAGGGTTATCACGTTTTTGTAACTGTATTTAATTATTTGTTTATGCATAATCAACTTTTTTTTCCCAATCAGGATGTTGCAGCTAGAGGACTTGATTTACCTTACATAGACTGGATTGTACAGTATTCAGCTCCTTCATCTCCTGAAATTTATGTTCATCGTATTGGTCGTACAGCTCGAATTGGGAAACGGGGAAACTCTTTGTTGTTTTTACTACCATCTGAAGCTAAATTTTCACATCTCCTTGCAGAACATAGAATTAAGTGAGTCAAGATTTATATGAGGTTATGAAATGAGATTTAATTAATTTTTAATTCATTAATTTTTCTATAACAAAATATTATTGCTTAGCTCTTTGTTCAAAGGTGTAAGTAATTTTTGATATAATAAAGTACTATTACTGCTATAATTATATAACTGCTATAATTTAGTAATATAAATACACCTTCAAAATATATATAAACACACCTTTGAAATGAAAACATTACATTAAATTAACCATGAAGTTATCAAATTATTCTGCATTTCCTTCTATAATTTTATTTTGCAGTTCTTAAAGATAATTTTGCTGAAGATATTTCATAAACTTCTCATTATTTATTTAAGATATTTTTTATGATAATGCATATCTTAATTTAATGCTTAAGTTGAATTAGATTGGAAAGTAATGTCATCCCAGTATGTCTTTGCAAGTTATTTATTAGTTATTGTAGCTAAAACAAGTAATAAAACAAATTATTAAAAAAGTTATTTAAATTCAATATTTTTTTCTAAAATTTCTCAATAAAATAAAAAATAACTGGTGATGAAAATGTTATAGTATTTACATTGGAATAATTTTTTAAAATTATTTCATTCAGTAAAAATAATACAATATATTGTTATTAATATTTTTTTTATAATTAAAACTGTCTTTGTTTATATTTTAGTTTTGAAGAAGTTACAACTGACAAGTTCTTGCAACCACTGTTGTTGATATCAGATTTGTTTAATTTCAGGTCTAAGGTTTGTTATAATTTTGTCTCATGTTTAGTTTTTAAAAAAATATGTTTTGTGAATAAACCTAAATAATGTAAAAAAAAAAAAAAAAAAAAAAAAAAAAAAAAAAACTAGTACTTAGTTACAACTAAGAATCAAGAGATTAAACATTAAAGGAAGAGAATGAGCATGACCTGGATATACAACATATTTTCCTTTGAACCTATTTTATAATTTTCTTATGCATCTCTTTGTTTTCTTTTTTTACACTGTGTTTAGACACTGATGAAGGGTTTTCATTATAGTAATGAAGTGTGATGATTTCTTTTTATGTAGCATTATTTGTGTTTATCAGCTCTCTTTATATGTCACACTAAGTTAACCCTTTCTTCACAGGAGATATGTTTTCTTTCTTATTTCCTCTTGAGTGTTTTTTAGATAAATCAATTTTCTATTTTATTTTTGAGTGCTTTTAAAATTAGTCTTCATAGCATAGACGAATTGAGTGTCATTGAATCACATTAAGTCTGCAATCATTCATATTTGAGTATACAAAATTGATACAAATGTTCAAAATTTTTATCCATATGCTCAAATACAATTAAAAACACAAAGAATTGTTTTTAAAAATTAAAGGTGCTTATTTTTGATCTTAATTTTTTAAAAGTACTTAAATGGGCTTTTTTCATTCGGTGTTTTTAAATAGTGCTTAATTTTCCATTTTTGAAAATTATATTTTTTTCTTTACCATGTCGATTTTCTCCACGTACTATGCAAAAGCTTTTCACATTCTTCTATTCAACGTTTTCACAATTCATTCAAACACAACGCATTTCGGTGTATCGTCTGTCTGTAGCGTATGGAAGCGCTAATCATTTTACTTGTTTGATGAAATACTTTTGAGTCTGCATGAGCGTATACTGAGCTGGGTTCACTGAGATTTTTGCACTTCATGTGCAACTCTGCTTCATTTTTCGAATTTCAGGCGTCATTTTCCGCCGCCTGATATCGAACCGAAAAACCTCTTGATCTTTTTAAAATAGTTAATATGAAGAAAAGAGTTCTTTGTCAGAAACTGGTTATTTTATCATGATCATGAAAATTATTTATCATTTTATTAATGTATACAGTGCTTAAAAATATTTTTGAGGGTTGAAAAAGTATCTATTTTTTGTATTTATAAGTAAAGGTACTTATTTTTTTGTTGAAAGATTTAGCTACCCACCCTGCTATATTTTTTGTGCTATTTTGGTAGCTGTTGTAATGGTGAGAGCTACGCTTTAACAAAACTATAGTTTAAATTTAACTTAAAGGGACATTCTTAATAACACACTTATGGTGGCCGACTTCCTCCGGGTGATGAATTTCATGGACATAGTTTAGCCCTGCTAATTTTGGGGATAAGGAAGAAGAAGAAGAAGAAGATCCTTTTTTTTAGTCTCGAGTATTTTTTAAAGGGAATTAAATACTCAATGGGCTGATAAGCGAAAGAACTAATGCAGTGTAGTAAAAACAGAAACAAAAATGTATATCCTCCTGTACTTCTGGTAGCAATCTTAGGAGACCTAAGTTAAAATGTTATTACAACTGGCCGGTTTTTTTAATATCTTTTCAAAAATGTAAATAGACATAGACCAACCTGAAAATGCCTTTAAAAAAAAAACCATTTACTTAAGTGGCCTATCTTAGTGGAAAAATATAAATTTACTTGGCACATCTACGTAATATTGACTCATTAATAAAATTATTAAAATTTTAATCAAATTTATTCACCAAAGTAATTAAGTAAAATGTAATAACAATTAATTGTTTATTTTTCTAAAGGTTACTGCAGAGGACTGTGCCACTGCATTGCAGACAAGATATGAAAAAGAAGTTCATGAGGAAAAAGAGTTGCATGCCTGTGCAAAAGATGGTGAGATATTTTTTCTTACTTTTTATTGCATGCAACTATAATAGTGCTCTAAATATACTTATAATATTTTCTTCTCAACTACTTAATGATTGATATTTTTTATATTGATGATAATTTTTCATTCTGTCTGATATATTTATTATCTTTTAGCTTTTGCAAGCTATATTCAGTCTTATGCATCATATCCAAAAGGACTTCGACATGTTTTGCCATTTAAAGCTCTTCATTTAGGACATGTGGCAAAGAGTTTTTGTTTAAGGGAGGCTCCTTCTAATTTACGTGGATCAGTGCCTCCAAAGAAACATAATGGGAAACGCTCAGGTTTTGACAGGTACTTAAAATTTTGATTAAATATTAAAATAAATTTCTTTATAGTACAGGTTTCTTTATAGTGCTGTAAATATAATAATCAATAGAATTAACATCTTTGAGAAAGTCTCCATAAGTTTTGTTCTCATAAATTTTGTTTCCTATTTTGAAAAATAAGAGAAACAGGATAAAAATAGCACTTCTATAGCAGAAACAAAATGTATTTTTAAAACTTTTAATTTAATTGTACATAAAATTAAAAAATATAGGAATTAAAAATCTATTTTATTTATCAATCACTGAAAAATTTGAAGTTACCTAAATTTAGTAATCAATAAAAGTTTTATGCATTAAATGTCCTATCATAAGAAAATTAATAACCAGTATAATTGTTAATTACGTTGCATGCTAAAAATGTAATCACTGTTTAATTTTAAATATTTTCTTTTTTTTTTCAGTTAATCTGAAAATGGCCATTTTTTTTTAAATATATTGTTAGTTACTTTTATTCCAAAAAATAAAACATAATGAATGAATAATTTTCACTCTCAACATCAAATTATATTCAGAACAAAGTTTAACAACCGCATATGAAGTTTATAAAAACTATTTTGTTTAAATATCGAAAAGTTTAAATTATTCGCTTAAATTTTATTTCAGTTTTTTGCATTCCTCCAAATGCCTGGCCTTTTTAGTTTCTGATTTATGTGTATTCTTTAACATCTACCAAGAAAAGCTATTTTTTTAGTATGTAATTAAAAAAAAAATCTAAGAAATCTTAATATTTTTAAATGTTGATGACTTTATGGAGTTTCAAAATGTTCAAGTAATAACTATTTTTAACTCATTAATTCCCATTTTAAAAACTCAATTATCATTTTAAGCTCATCCATTTTCCTTCTGACATTTAACATGATCTTAATGGTGTTGTTTTTAATTTAATTCTCAATGTTTCTTAATTCGTTTATCAAACTGTGTAATTTCAAAATAGTACGTAATAATTTACATGAAAAAGTTCTGCACATGTAGATATTCCTAGAATTTAAATTTTTATGATTTTATTTTTTAATAATTTTATTCCAATGCTTTATTACAGAAGTTCTGAGAAATCAAAACCCATGAAAAGGAAGTTTCAGGCTACTGTTTCTGAATTTGATAGTGGTTTATCATTTATTTCTTCTGGTTCAGGACAACAAAAAAAGAAAAGGAAAAAGAATTAGTTTTAAGCTATATTAACCAATATGTATATAAACTTTAATTTTTAAAATATGTTTATAACTTATTTTGTTGCAAAATAAAAATTCTGTTGTACTGAAAAGAAATACATTGTACGAAATTTATTTTTCCTATTTTCAGAAAGTATTTTAAAGGATGTGAACAGTATAATTACAAAAGGTTTTATGTTCTATGGTAGGTTATGTATGGGTTCAGACTGACTGTGACATTAAGTATTTTTTAATACATTTTCAATTTTGATGTAAAACTTTAAGCCCCTCATTTATGTTTTTCGTAGCAAAAGTTCGTTCCCAGGTTAAAAAAAAAAATATTAAAATTTTCAGGTTTTGATGGAATTGGAAGAGATAGTTTTCTTCATTTCTTAAGGTTTCTTTTAACAAAAAATTTAAATTAGTTTTTAGAAGTTAGGTTTTTAATTAATCTATAGTACACATGCATTTTGCCAGTAGACAAATATATGTAATGCAGTCATTAAATTAATATTCACATTTGGCAGATCTAAATTATTTTTCAGCACATACTTTAAAGAAATATTCATCCTATATTAGTAAACTTTTGTTATTTTAATTAAACTACTTACAGCTGGAGGCATTAAATTTAGAATTACTTTTTTTTTATAGCTATTCTGAGTAATTTGGGCAGTTCAGAATACAATGTTAAATGCAACTTGTAAAATGTTTAAAAAAAATTACTTTAACTTTCCTAAAATAGTTCAAAAACTTAAAAAAAAGGTGTATTTATTTGGCAATTAGAGAAAATTACTTTAAAAATTTCATATTTTTGTTGAATTTAATCTTTGATTTTTGAAAATGTCATAAAAAATAGTATCCAAAACCTGTATTTTATTAAAAGCTATAACTTCAGGGATGTTTTTGGTAAAAAAAAAAAACCCCAAAAAGCTGATAACAGATGTTGTCAGTGAAAAACATTTTAAACTGAAAAAATATATGAAATTTGTCCTAGAAAAAACTGTATGTTAGATGCATGTATCCATAGAATATCATGAAAATTGCAATAAAAAAAATTGTGAATACTATTTAGAAGATTTTATGCTAATCACAATGATTCATTTTTCAATCGTGAATATGAATCCTGATGTGATATTTGAAATCACATTATTATAAATCGTGATGTGTAGCTTCAAGTTGCACAAATAATCTTTGCAATGTATGATTTTAAATCATGTGAATAAGAATCGGGATGTGTAATTTTAAATCACATGAATATGAATCGACATGTGTAAAAGATGCATGATTTTTAAATTATGTGGTATTTTAAATCGCATGCTTACAGCATAGTTTTTAATTGTGTGAATATAAATTTCACTGCATGATTTTTTTTAGCCAATGTACTTTTAAAGTACATTTATAAAAATTGGAGAAAGCGTAAAAATGAATTTCTACAACAATTCAAAAAAGCGGAACTCCCTTTGAAAAGGTTAAATTTTTCTTTTTGTTAAATTAAAAAAAAAAAAAAAGAGCCAAAAACTCATCGCTTACTAAAACATTTTATTTTATACATAAGAATCAACTTTTATACAATGATCATTATTGCATTGTTACAGACTGGTATTGAAAATATGCAAAATATTTAGATCAGGCATAGCATTTAAGACTATTTTGTCATGAGTTTAATCTCAAGTATGAATAGATTACCAAACAAAATTACATTTGAAATTTGTGCACATACAATAAAATGCTATTAAAATGCAGATAATTACGAAATCACAAGTTACATACTAAAAAAATAACACGACACAGTAACATCATAATCATCGAAATCCTTCTCAAATCAATAACGATTTACAAATGTAGATTTGCTAAACTTCAGAGATATTTTAATAGATAAATGGAGTACTTTTACACCAATTTTTAAAAAGAAATGCAGATACAGTTAATTAAGATCTATAATAAAGTGTATTCATAAAGTAGATAATTAAACAATTATATGGTCAGTACAATCACAAACTTCAAATAATCTTTTTGTTAAAATAAATAATTTTCATTATCTTAATCATGAAAGTAGACATTTAAAATATGGATCATCATCATCAGATTTTATAATATGTAAGAGTAAGCTAGCTTTTCAAAAACCATCTGTTTGTCTAGAAATACAAATATTTCTTTAAGTTTTTGTAAATAAAATTCACTCACTGAATTTTAGCAAAGCCCATAGCCTATTAGTTAGTGGACATTTACATTAAATTAAGAAAACTCATAAATTAGCAATTGTTTGTTTTTATACGCATAGATTTTCAATTATTTAAATTTATGTTAAAAAGCAATTTTTTGACATATCTTCATCTTACAATTTTTTGACATAGAGTCACCTTACTTCCTAAAAAAAAAAAAATGAAAGGTTTCTAAACCTGTTTTAAAATTTTGAGTACTTGACACTAATTGGTTTTTATTTATCAACTACACATTTTCAATTATCCACTTTACCAAAACCTTGACATTATGCAAATCAAACTAAATCGAATTTTTTTTGTACGTAATTATTGCAAAATATGTGAGCTATAAATTATGTTAGTGCTCTAGAAACAAAGCCAACTAAAAATAAATTGTAACCAAATAAAGCTAATCCTGGGATAAAATGCTCAATGCATATTTAAACTAAAAGTGTGAGTAGGTAGGTGACCATTTTAAAATATATATTCACTTTTTTTTATATAGAAGTTTGCTGTTGACATCATAAACTGTTCTGTAAATCATTTGTTATCTTGCAAGTGGATTTCTTTATTTCAAACTGAACAATAATTTTTAGTTATCCTTTTTTTAATTTATCAAAAACTAGTCTTATTCATGATTCACTTATAATTTTGACAGTTAATCATTAGTATAATTATGAAATTCTTGAAGGGTGGGATGTGACTTTAAGCTCAAAGATAAATTTTTTTTCTTCACTGCTAGTTATTTAAAACTGAAATTAATCAAATTGAATTTTTCTAGCTTAGGCCTAGTGCTAAAAAATGCATTACTTGTAATTTATTATCAAAAAATTATGATTAGTTAAATTTCCATAAATGCTAACATAACAATTAAATTTTAAAATAGTAAGTAATAAGATTAACATAAAAATAAAAGCTTACAATGACAATTGAAAGTCTTTAAAGCATCTTTTAAAGTAAGCCATAAAGTTCGTTTATTTACATCAAGCAAGTACTACATTTGCTCATGAGATAATCAGGTTTTGCATCATACTTTCACTTTATTTCTAGTTCAATGAAGGCCAATGGGATATAAAGTTAAGCAAGAAATGAAGAACAAATTTAGAAATCTTATCTTGTTTGTTGAAAATACATTGGGTATTAAAACTATAACTTTCATAGATAAACACTAAAGGGATATTTGCCATGCAAGATTCTGATCTTGCAACGTTGCCACAGCTCAGTCAGGTGAAGCTACAAATATTACTTTTTCAGTCTGTGAGTTTCTGCACTGATTTTTTAATTTCATGCTGGCCACTGCCTGGTTGGGGCAGAAACTTAGCAACCATATAAGTGTAGTACTGGGAATATTTCTGTATTGTGATCTATGCCAAAACAATAGCTAGATCTTGGCTGTTTCAGAGCAGTGGAAGAGTAAAAAATTGCAAAAGGGACCAACTTGAAGAGTATAGCTCTTAGTATTAATATTTTCATATCGTGATCTGTCATGCTAACTACAATCACCAAGGTGGAAAAAATGAATCTTGCACTTGGAAGATTAAAAAAACCACACAGATAGAAGTTTGCCTGTGGGTGGATAAAAGTTGTGCTCTTCAAAATGGTCCCTTTCTATGATATTTTTTAAAAAATTTCGTGGGACAGCGCCTTAAGTAGCCAATTATTTTGCTGTAGAAACATAAATCTTTCTCTCATGCAAACGTCTACAGAATTTTTGTTAAAAAAATTTTTGAGTCAAAAACTTATTTGATCTCTTTGATTGTAGATCAACAGATAAAGATAAGAAAATATGCCCTGATATAGAAATCTTCTCAACAAAAGATAAACAATAATCTGCGTTTACACCCAAAAAATCAATAAAGATAATTACAATATTTACAACAACAAAGATAAAAGTTGCCAGAAAGAGGTTATCAAACATGGAGCATCTTAATACAAAGCTTGAAAAACCTACATCATCTTTGCATAGAAAATCTTTATAATACTTTCATTTTATTAAATGTCCTGTTTAGGCAAAAGAAGAAAAAAATCGCCAAAGACGTTCCTAACACTTATTCAACTCCAGAGGATCTGTGTTTCTAGCAGCTTCTGTTCCTCCATCAGTTGATTCATCTGAAGTTGCTGAACTTAATGAAGAAGGAGAAGATGAACAGCGAAGTTGTCGCATGAGCTCGTTAGCTCTGGCTTGCATGGTAGCCGCATAATGGTGATACATAACTTTCACACCACTCGATATAGAAAGTTGCATTCGTAAATTATATCGTACTGCATAACCATCATTTTTAACAGCTCGACGGAAAAGTTTTTTTAAATATGCAATCTGTTCATCCAAGTGCGATATTTGTTGTGATACACGTTCCAGTTTATCTTGAACATCTGTAAGATCAGATTGCATTTCTTCTTCGTTCATGGTTGATATTTCTCTTAAATTCAGGTGGGTCTTGCTTAAATTTAAATGATTCATGATTGCTTGCAGCTGGTAGAGTATTCAGTAATTGAAAATAAATTGTTTCAGAGCAAATTGACGCCAACTCGTTTTTCAAATTGTTTATTTACATCAAGGCAGACGAGAATAGCGTCCACTGTCCACTAGGCTTTTGTTTCGAAATTGCCGTAAACAGTTACAGTTAGTTAAGAATATAATTACTATTGGGGACTCTAAGTCCTGATTGAAGCAGAAATGGGCCAATATATACGCTTTATGTTTGCGTCGTGTGGCTACAAATTATAATTACCGTTGTGTTTATTTACTTATTGGCTTTCGTATGCAATATTCACGAATCTATTTGTAAATGACTAATTAAAGTAAGTTAGTCTAACATTTGGGTGTACATGCTGTTAGCGATGTGCGACAAAAATATGAGATTAAAAGGTCATTTAAATGATT